TGAACTAGCATCTAAACGGGATGCAAATGCTGAAGAAATGCATCACAGATACTGAACTAGCATCTAAAATAAAACCATAAAGCCACCCGGAATGTCGAAATAGCCCCAGCACCACAAGGCAGCATGATATCTGCAAGTCGTCAATTTGTGCAATATGAAAGATATAAGAGTTCATATCTATTCTGTCGTTCTAAATAATAATCGGCGAGATTCCCAGAAGCATGATATTGGTTTGAGAATTGACTAGACTTGCAATACGAACACACTCCTCAATAGAGTCTATGCATAGTCAAGGAAGCTGAGGCAAAAGAAAAACTTTAAAGACAAAAATGAGAAGAGCTGCACATGAAGTTTTTAAATAATAATCCTTGGCTGCAAGAATTAGTAATAAGAGTAGAATCAGTCTAAAGTTGAATGATAGTTTCTAGGCGTGGGGTGTGTGCGTGTGTGCGTGTGTGCGTGCGTGCGTGTGTGTGTGTGTGTGTGTGTGTACAGTTGCAGTGGTTTTTATGAAAGACTGTAGTTCTGGTAGAGTCCTTTGTGATAGCAGCTACTGTAGCAGACTTCTTTTGGGCCACCAACCAGTTTTCAAATCATACACAGACTTATCATTAGTTACACATGCTCTGCCTTAGCTCAGGCTTGTTTCTTGCTAGTTCTTATAACTTAATTTAACCTGTTTCTCTTTGTCTATGTTTTGCCTTGGGGGTTTTTTACCTTTATTTCATTCTGTATGTCCTACTCCGTGTCTGGCTAGCTGGTAGCTGCCTGCCTGGCTGGCTGACCCTAAGCATCTCCCTCTTGAAACTGCTTCCTGCTGACCTGTGGGACCTGAGAAAACTGGGATGCTGGACACTTCCTGGGGTAGCTTGTTGCTGCACTGCTATCCGGGCTCTATTAAACAGTCCGATGCCTCTTGGGCCTGGCAAGATGCTGGCAGAGCAGAGGATAAAGTTAAGTTTAGGGGAAACATTTTTAGGTCCTGGTAATTGAGGGAGGGGAGTCCCAAGACCAGGGAATCTGACTTGTTAGGGTGGATCCAAGTTGATTCCCTGGACCTTCAAGGATTTCTAGGTTTACAAAAAGAGATACGTTTTAGACACATTAAAAAGCAACCAAAGGGAATTTGAGATCCTGAGCTTGTGGCTGTGATAATACAGTGGTATGGTATAGCGGGTAGTACTCTCAGAGCTAAATTAACAGCCTAGCAGAATTCTATCGGTCAGTGTTTAAGTTATAGACAGCGAGAAAGAGGAATCTGAAGTACGTTTCATTCTTTTATATACATCTCAAATCACTTTCTCCTTATCACCAAGTAAGTTTTCCTATCTTCACATAAACCACCTTAAAGTGCCTTCTAATTCACCAGGAGATACAGGAGGCTGACCACTGAGAACATTCACTGCAAAGCAAGGGATTGGTAAGAAGTTGCACTGAAATTTGTTGTGTGAGTTTATCTCTTTTCTGAGTCTGGTAATGAAGTAAACTGTTTCAATAGTTCTAGGAGAGTGGGGCCTGTGACCTGAATCTTACAGAGAACTGAGAAGGAAGCTAAAGCCTTGCTTGCTGCTGTGAAACTGACAAAGCTACCTCTAGCCTAGTCCTCAAACAGCTTCAGAGTTCTAAGATAAATTTCACCTGAGTTAGCGATGAAAATGACAGAGACTTACTTGCTGGCTACCTAGACAGCTACCCCAGGGTTCTCCATAGTCTTTGAGGACAGAGGTCTTGGGGCCACATCAATCTTCAGCTGAAAGGTCTCTGCCTACCGGGGCCCAGAAGGTTCAACAGACTTCTTGCGGACTGGGAACGTGTGGGAGACCAGCCTACCTTTGTCTAGGCAACTCCAAGCAATCCGTTCCTTAGCATTCTGGTGTCCACAAGCTAAAGGGGGTCTCTGCAGCAGTTAAGGTTAAAGTCAGTTTTTGCTCAGTGGCTGGCGCTGCCACATTCAAAGCAAGTTCCAGGTGGAGGTTTTTCTTTGAGCATCCATCTTCTTTCGGGGAACCGTGAGCCCCAATTTAAGCGCTGTGCCTTTATCATGGTGTTTCATTAAAACGGTGGAAAAGGGGGAAAAAAAGAAAACTGAGGCAAGGAGACAGATCAGTTGATAAACTGCGTGTCACAAAAGCACAAGGACCAGAATGTGATTCCTAAGAGCCAACAATGAAAGTTAGGCACGGTGATGTGTGCACGACTGTCATGTTGGGGAGCACGGCGGTAGACAGGTATGTTGACATACCAACAGAGAAGGAGTGGCGAGTTCACATCTCCATCTCCGAGCAGGAGGTAGAGAGAGCTAACTGGGACTGGTGTGGCCTTGTGAAACCTCAGAGTCCCCCCAGTAACATACCTCCTCCACCAAGTTTACACACCTTCCAATCCTTCCCAAACAGTTCCACCAAATGGGAACCAAGCGTTCCAATATGTGAAGCTGTGGGAGCCTTTCTCATTCAAGCTAGCATAGCACCCTCCTGCTACTGTAGACTGTGCCTTGTACATGCTAGACAAGTCATCTACCACTGAGTCGTATCCTCCATCCTCTGCTAAGTACTTTCATTCCCATGACATCGTGTCACTATTGTTCTAGGAACAGTATTAGCCTAAATGAATTAAAGGTAGAGAATCAAGCCTGTATAGCAACATTCACACATAGTATTCAGTCACTGACAGGCTAAAACAGTCCAAATGTATACCAACAGATGAATAAGATATAGGATACACAGACAATGGATATTTAAGCCATAAGACAGGAAAAATTTAACATGCCATAACATGGATGAGACATGAAAACATTTTGATGTTACAGGAAATACACTTACATATCTATATATTTACACATACACACATATAAATATATAAACATACGTATATAATCTTTGTTAGTTTGATATGTGTGTGTATTTTCAATTTGGGGGACAGAGCCTAATGTAAACTAGGCTCGCCTCATTTCGTTTTCATTTTGCCTCAACCTCTTAGGTCCTGGGATTACAGGTATGCACCCCCACACCTAACTCAGAACTTTCAAAGCACTAAGAATTTCCTAAACAGAAATACCTCTTGCCTGTAATGAGCCAACTCATAGCAGAGGATCCATACCGAGCTCCAGGAAGATTGAAAAGGACAATCATGAGAGTAAGTACTTTTCATCCATCCCGACCTCAGCAGACGGACAGGGTTGTAAGGAGATTTCAATCATGTATAGCCTGTAGCTCAGTAACTCCATCATGAAGTCTGGGGGATCCAGACTGGTGTGGACAGGGGTGTACTGGACAGCTAGAACACCGAGAGGACTTGTAGGCTCTGCAACCCAATTCTCAGTGTACTCTTCCATCTTGATTTCCAGCATGGCTTCCTTTATAATGAAATCAATATAGCCACTTCCTGAGTTCTGTGAGCTGCTCTAGGAAAGTTGTGAAAACCTTTAAGTGAGTTATTGCACAGACAAAAGGGTACATGGGGGACCACAATTGTGTCTGGCATCTGAAGTAGGGGTAGTATAAAGGGAAGGAGCCATCACATGGTGAGATCTGTATTCACATCTTGATGTTGGTGTCAATTAAATTTGTAGACTAGGAAGCTGTTTTTAAGGTATATTAGGGTTTTTAATGCTTTGATAAAACACCATAACCAAAAGCAGCTTGGGCAAGAAAGTGTTTACTTCATCTTACACCTTGTGTTCTATCACTGAGGGAGATCAGGGCAGGTACTCAAGCTGGCTAGGAACCTGGAGTCAGGAACTGAAGCAGAAGCCTGCTTACTGGCTTGCTCCTGCTCTCTGACACCATTAGGGACCACCCAACCAGAGGGGGCACCACTTCCTGTGGGATGGGCCACCCACATCAATCACTATGAAAATAACACACAGGCTTTCCCATAGGCCAATTTGGTGGGGACATTTTCTCAGCTGAGGCACTTCTTCCCCAATGTCTCCAGCCCATGTCAAATGCACATAAAAACTAGACATGACAGTAGGGGGGGGGGGCACCAAGTACCAATGCAAAGTAAAATAAGACACGAGGACAACAGGTTGATTCCATTTATTTGAGCTAAGCAGAGTGGACAAATATATTCAAACAAAAACTGGAAAAAGTGCTTGGGACTGAGCATGTGTTCAGGGGTTGGGGGATAGAGCTGATTTTCAGTTGTTGCAGGATCTCTGAGATGACGAGAGTTCTGGAACATTATTAGAAGCAACGGTCCCACAGTTGGGTGAATGCACACCAGTGTAGGTGGAGACTGCTTGTTCGTTTTCCAGTCGCCCAGATCCAAAATAATCACACAGAAACTATTATTAATTAAAACACTGCTTGGCCTGTTAGCTCGGGTTTCTTATTAACTTACATTTACGTCTTAAATTAACCCATTTCTATTCATTTGTGTATTGCCATGTGACTGTGACCAACCAGTAAGGTTCCAGGGCATCTGTCTCCTTTGACATGGCATCTCCTTGACTCCACCTACTTTCTCCTCTATCTCTGGTGGAATTCCCACCTTGCTCTATTCTTCCCTGTCATAGGCCAAAACAGCTTTATTCATTAACCAATGGTAACAAAACACATTCATAGCATACAAAAGGAAATCCCACATCACGCCAGTAATATTTGAAAAGGTCAAACAATAAAACTTGAAGCTATGTATATTTTACAAAAAGAAAACAAAACATATTTTTGAGCAATAATCATTATGGGATCTGTGAGTGGTTTAGCAGGTAAAGACACTTGCTGCCAAGGCTGACTGACTGGAGTTTAATCTCCACAACAATATGGTAGATCAGAGATACGGATGTTTTCAGAGTGTCCATATACTTACTAATTAAAAGGACAATGACTCTCAGGAAAGAATGGTGCACACTGTCTTAAGTGACCAGTTAGCTACCATTACAAATGACACAAATCAACATGCACCTCCTTGTAATGTGTACATAAAACCCACATCATTGACGTCACAGGTTTGGCTCACATACCCTAAATCAAATCATGATAAAGAATCAGAAAAATAAAATAAATTAAAGGCTTAACTAGGAAAGTTATTCTTTCCATTACAAATTCTCAGTATTATTAAAGACAAACTAGGGCTGAGAAATTACTCCAGATTACAAACAGACTAAAGAGGCAGGAAAACTAAACACAGCGTGTGAGTCTCCTGTGGAGGATGGAGCACAAAGAGAATCTGGTATAACCATTACTGTGAAGAACTAATGAAACTTGAGTTTTGGGTTTTGTTTTGTTTTGTTTCGGTTTTTCGAGACAGGGTTTCTCTATAGCTTTGGGGCCTGTCCTGGAACCAGCTCTTTTAGACCAGGCTGGCCTTGAACTCAGAGATCTGCCTGCCTCTGCCTCCCAAGTGCTGGGTTAAAAGGCGTGCGCCACCACCACCCAGCAAAACTTGAATTTTTAAAATTAATTGATTTACTGTGTATATGTGTGGGCAAACACAAATGACAGTAAACATGAATGGTGGTCAGAGAACAACGTGCAGGTTTTGGATTTTTCCTTCTACCATGTGGGTCCCCAGGATTGAATGTAAACTTAGTGGCAATGATGTCTCACAGACAATTTCACAAGAGAATGATTTAAAATTCACCTTTATTTTTTACATCATTTCTATATACATTTTATATATTTTTATATATATATATATCATAAATATACACTTGTGATTAAAAAGTTCATATAAAACCCAAGTACTACAAAGATGGAAAGAGACATACTGCAGAGGATTTATGATACTTTGCTGTTTAAATACTTTTAAAATCAGTTTTTAGGGAGACAACAAATCAAATGCCATTACATTTTCAGAGAGCTCCGTGTTTACAGAAATTCATCATTCAAGTACATTTTACTGAAATAGTAAGCCACATGACTGGCTGCAGAGCACAGCAAAATAAACCAGGATATTAAGCAAAATCAGGGCTTTCTTGTTCTTATTCCTCAGCCTAGAATCAGCTTCTAACGCCAACTGCGGAATGTGACCGTGATTCTATCCTTACCCCATAAAACACCATGCTGACAACTTAGTCTATATGTTTACTTAGATACTTGTTTAAAATAAATACTAAAGAAATAACAATGTCTTGATTTATAAAACAGTACAGCTCGTTCAATGTGCTTGGCAACTGGACATCACACCTGAAGAAATTGTTACACTCAATGGACAAAAAAAATGTATCTAACTCCTTCAGGGTTCAGGAATCAGTTCAGTTATATCTCTCACACTACAGATAGCACAGTGGACATAAGCAGCTCAAAGTCATGTTCATCACCACAATATTATCATGCTTACATCACTGAGGTACAAAAGCATTCCACAACTTACCCGCAGCTGTGAATGGAATGAAGACAGACAGACACAGGCACCTCTCACCTAAATTCAGTGCTACACCTAATGCATGCGCCCCTAATGTTCAGATCAGCACGGCAGACATAATTTAGAAAAGTCTGCTTAACCTGCTGATATCAAGAAAGACTTAACACTAAGACTCTATGCTTATCATATACTACTAAAGATTGCAAATGCAACATGATCACTTTCTGAGTCAGGCAAGTAATGAGTTACGTATAAATTTGACACAACTGATTGAAAGGACAAGGTTAACAATATAAATTAAACAAGTTCTAAGAAAGATACTTATTAACATGAAGCTTTAAAAACACTATTATACAACCTACAAAATTTAAGACAGCACTGCAGCTGTGAGCTCGTCACTAGAGACTCACTACACTGCCTCTCAATCGGCCTTCTGCTCGCTATGGAAGCGGTCCAGCAGAGCACTCCTGATGTTGCCCGGTATCCTTTGGTGCTTATCAATCAAAGCCTGAAGGGCGGTCTTGGTCTAGTTAAAAAACAAAGAAAAGCCGCTGTTGGTTCAGCCTCAGTACACACCAATCATCCTGTAGAATCTCCATGCCATACTACTTGCAAAGGAACTTCTCTCCCACACGTATCTTGCAGGCCCCTGCCTATGCTTTCTTCTAGCAATTTTAGTGTTTCAGGTTTCAGGGCCTTGTCGGTGACTTAGCAGAGGGAGAAATGGGAAGATGGTGCTCAGGGGGAACAGACCCAGCTTTTCATGGTAAAAATCCTCAAGATCACTTCTGTTCAACAACATGGATGTATTTAACAGAACTAAATTATAAGTATATCTATTTTAGTTTTGTTTAATTTCATCTTGTTTTGACCAGGTTGGTTACAAACTCACAGAGTTTCACTAGCCTCTCTCCCTTCCCCCCCAGAGCTGTAGTTAATATCATATTAATGGTGTAGCACCATACCCGGCAAATCTATATTGTTTCCATCATAGTTCAAAATGCTTTAAATGAACCTCACCTCACTACTATAGTATTTATTGGTTGGTACTAAATTTATAATCAAAACGCACACATAGCAAGGGATGTAGTCCAGTGGTAGAGGGTTTGCCTAGCAGGAGCCAGGCCAGCTTATGGCTCCTTTTTCATAATTTTAAGACTCTTTCAATGCTAAATTCCAAGCTGAGTAGTCTTTTCTCATCCTCATGACTCTTCATCTGCTTGCTAGACAACTGATCACTCCAACATTTGAAGAATCCTCACTAACTTATGCTACTCAAATCGTGTTTGCTTACCTCTCTGCTTGTTCCTCAAGGCTTCCAGTCACACATAGCACCTGACAGAATTCTACGTCTTTAGCATCACTTCTGGCCTTTTCTCATTCTTACTATTAAAGATTGAGATACAGAAACATGTCATCCTGCAGGTGCCTATAAATATATCCCTGGCTTCTGAACACTAAATGACTATAGTCGCCCCCACCCCCACTTTTTCATGTGAGTAAAATGTCACTGGGCCTTGCCAGATGTCTCCAATGGGGCAAAATCACTGTTTGAGAACTTCTGGCATATAATACATAAACAATGACATTCAAATAATTAAAACAAAATCTGCCCTAAGACTAAGAAAGAACACACAAATTACCTTTTCAGCTAATTCTTCGGCAGTTATCTTTGGGTCATATGGAATGGGATCACCTAAGAAGGTCCGCAACTTTACAGGAAAACCTCCATACATTGGAGCAAATGGAAAGCGGAATTTTTCATAAAGCCACTTAAATAATCCTGTTTCAAAGTAAGCAAAATCGTTTTTATTGGACAAATGTGCTATGCATATAACTGTAAACTTTCTAATTAATTACACAAGACTTGCTACAATTCATAGCAGTGTGTGTGTGTGTGTGTGTGTGTGTGTGTATTTCTGAAGCTGGGGGCTGAATCCAGTCCTCACACATCCACATATTAGTAAATAAGCTACATAACCAGCAGAGCCTCTCCTAAAGGGAAGCTTTTCATCACGTACTGGTGCAATGTGCTCATGAGGACTGAGTCTAGAGACCGCTGAAGCAACATACAAGAATTTCTGTACTTTGTACTCAGTTTTTTCTATAAATTTAAAAATAAAAGGGAAAATTAAACAGTTCATTAAAAAACCAAGAAACGTTTTAAAGATTTAAGAATCTCAAAAGACAAACAGGTTACTATCACTGCAGAACAAAGGCTGACGGGCGCCAGCAGACCTGGAAACGTTCAGGGACAAAGAATGAGACACTGACAAGTACCAAAGACAAAGGCCAGGGAGTGAAGGCCCAGCCATGCAGACACCTCACACTGGCCTTCTAGAGATAGCTATATCTAACTCAGCAGGACTGAATTTAAAGGTATTAAAGATGAGTAAGAGAGGTTAAAAAACAGCAACAATGGAATCCAAAAAGGTAAGTTTCACAAAATACAGTTATGTACTGAAACACTAATTACATACACTAACAGAAAAATTACTGTCACACCCAAACTAAAACTCAAAAAAAATTAAAATTAGCTAGGTATGATGATGTATGCTTATAATTCCAGCACCAGTGGGGAGGAGGACAGAAGCAGGTGGATCTCTGTAAGGTCAAGGTTAGCCTAGCCTATTAATAAGTTCAGGCCAGCCACAGTGAAACTGTGCCTCAAAAATAAATAAATAGCTAAGAAAGAATGGAAAGAGGGAAGGAGGGAGGGAAGAAAAGAAGGAAGGAAGGAAGGAAGGAAAAATAAAAGACAATAGACATTTAATTTAGAGATACTGAACTTTAAGTGAAGCTGAAAAGCAGTCAATAAAATTTTGAAAATAACTCATAATTGAAGAAACAGAATTTCTGTAATAAATTCTGATTTGCTATTTGAAAAGATTAACAAAAAATTAGAAATAATATCTAAAGTTAAATATAAGAAATGCATTAAAACAACAGCAATTGAAGGCTTGCTAAGGGGTTTTTATGTGGCTAGGAACAGCAACAGTTACAAAACTGTATTCAACTGAACATAATATATGAATCACAAGCCAAAAACAAGCTGAACATTCCAAAATAAGAGACAGTTTAAAGAAAAAAGAACCTAATTTTTATTATTACAACTATATTAAAAGTGAATTTTTAATTAGTAAACTACAGACAGATAAAAGAAAGTATCAATACAAACATATAGTTTATCATTTTTTTAAGTAATAAGATAAACCAAAGCAAATGACATCCCCATTTCCTCTGAGGGCAATCTTAGTTTAATATGTAGTTCGTTCCATTTTAAAACTAGTTTCTTTGGTTGCTAGTATATAAATGTTTTCTAAATCTTATCAACATAATTTAACACAATATATTAGATGAATCGCTTTGAAGTTTTTAAAAGCCCATTCAAATAAACTTTAATATGTTTATAATACACCTATCAAAAGCATACTGTCTACCAGAAACTCAGGAGGCTGAAGCATGAAAATCACAAATTTGAGGCCAGCCTGGCTACATGGTAAGATCCAGTCTCAGTCCCCAGTCCGTGCAGAATAATAACTGCCACTACTCGGAACCAACTATCACTCAGAGTTTATGGAGAACAGTTATCTAAATACTCATTTTCTAAAATTAATAAATCAAAAGTCACCAGGCATAGTAGCAATGCCTTTAATTCCTGTACTTGGGAGGTCCAGAGACAGATGGAACTCTCTGAGTTTGGAGCCAGCCTGGTCTAGGGAGTTGTAGGACAGCCAGAACTACACAGTGAGAACCTGTCCCCCCCCCCAAAAAAAAAATCAAAAGTTTTCCTAATAGTGTTCAAAACGCCTAATGTTTTAAAGATTATACTATAATTACTATAATTAAAAAACCATAGGAATGAGAACTTACTTGTTCCTCCAAGTGATCTAAATCCTTCTCGAATATTTTGTGTAAACATAGGAATAATGGGCTAAAGAAAAGAATTTGAATTGAAAAGTAAATAAATAAATACACTTAAGGTCTCCATTGAATCACTAAGGCAACTTTTTTGAAGGCACATTTGAAATACTAAAAATAGATTTTGAAACCAGAGGCATATCTAAGGTGGTATGATTTATCAGACTAAATTTGACTTCATAATTTATAAGAATATAAATTGGAAAGACTATTCAGTTGCAACATGCAATATTTTATCTACTGATTTGGCTTATATATAAACCCTTGAAACTCACGAGGACTATCATACTCACTAGTTCCATTAAGTAAAGTGAATGTGGTAGATTAGTTTAACTCATTCCTAACTAATATGTCATTAGGGAAGCTACGAGATGAAGACACTTTGAAGAGTGTGGTGACAGTTAGACAGGGCCCCACAGGCTCGGATATTTGAATCCTTGGTCTCCAGTGAATGGAGCTGCATTGGAGGGATTAGGAGGTGTGATCTTGTTGGAGGAGGTGTGTCACTGGGGGTGGACTTGGAGCTTTCTGTTTCCAGCTTATAGATCAGATGTGAACTCTCAGCTCCTTCTCCAGCACCATGCCTCCCTGCCTGCTGCCATGCTCCCTGCCCTGATGGTCATGGACTGTAACCCTCAGGAAGCATGAGTCCCAAATCAAATGTTCTCTTTTATAAGTTACCTTCATCATGGCATTTGGTCACAGAAACAAAAAAGTAACTAAGACAAAGGGAAAGTTTGTATCAATTTAAAGGATAGGTTTCAGCAAGATGTTCTCATGAAATTAGTAATACATTTTTTTCTGAGCCCGCCAAATCTAAACTGTTCAGTATTAACAAAAAGTATGTGTAAAAATTTTTAAAAAGTGTATAAATTGAAGAATTTTAGATAACAAATTTATAGGATAGTCCATGAACATCAGTGGTTAAATGTGATATTTGATAATGGAAATACTAGATCAATGTCATAAAATAATGCAATATCATAAAGCATCATATAGGAAGGTCATGCTATTGTAAACAGCAAAATATATCAAAATTGGATAAAATACTTTCATATATAAACAAATGCACTGAGCTGAATGTTTAGAATAGATAAGACTACATATACATGTGTATGTGCACATGTTCATGAAGTTCCACATTATCTGTAGAACTCCACACCGTTACAAGCAGGGTCTTAGATAAAGATAACGATCTTCTAAGTCTTTGTCACTCACTTCACTGGGCAGAAGAAAACACAAGGATAAACGTCACACAACTTGTCCTCACAATGAACTAGCTCATCACCTGCTGTCCCTCTCAGCAGAGGGACGACATCTAACATAGTTCAGGGACACCTAATGCAAGCTTTGTTCACTGCTGTGTCCCTCGCACTTAGAAAAGCACCTGGAACAGATGAGATAAAAGGAAGTTATGGAAGAACTAAGGAAGGAATGAGCACATACAGAAAAACGATGCTCCTGACGTCACACAGACGTCAGAGACAGGCAGCAGCGATGCCAACAAGCAGGCACAGCTGTCAAACTGTAAAATGAGGTTAATTCATGAAACCACTGCATAGAGATGATAATGAACACTGAATTCTTTTGTAAAAAAAACCCGCTACTATCTAAGATGACAAGTTTTGTAAAATGAAATGGCTGAAATCCTAGTGTTTTAAAAGTTACATTCCCAGAATTGAGAATTTAGGATGCACGGAAGGAACAGAAACCCTTCCAGCTCACAGATACTGTTTTCTCCCATGACTGAAACTGCTGGCAGTATCTACAGACAGGCATGGTCCTCAAAGCCTGTATTAAAGTGTGCACTTCATGAACATGATTAAGTTCAACACCATTTCCGAAATAGCTAAACTTCTGCAGAAAAACATTCTAGAAGCCACTTCATAGAAGAACGCTTGCCTTACAACTGGCTCAGTCTTCCATGTTAATTTGGACCTATGGTTTTTAAGTGCATCAAACTTCAATCCTTAAAGATACAGCACTAACTTATATCAACTTGATTGTGTACAGTCATTTAACCCTTTCCTTGTGCATATCTGTACACAGGACAGCTGCATACAAAATAGAGAATTTATAATTTCTGTGCCCACATCACTCCCTATGTATGTACACAAGTGTACAGATTTGTAAAACTATTTTTGGAACATCAATTTAGCATGATTACAGAGTCCTACTTCGGCTACTAAGAATAGAGCAAACACTAAACAAGTTGATTATCAAATCTAAGCCTTACTTTCTTCATGTGAAGAGTGGGGAGAATTATAATTACCTTTATCTCAAAAATTTTTATGAATAAAGTGAAATAACACAAATAATTTTTAAATACAATATTCCTTTCCTTTCTTTTATATTTGTTATTTATTTCCAACTAATTAAAGTAATTTTTCCCAACCTAGATGTGGAACTCCCTAAATACTTTCAGGAATCCACAAAATAAGAGTTATATGGTACAAATAAGAGTCTGTCCCAGAAGCCAGGCAGTGGTGGTGATCCTAACACTCAGGAAGCGGATCTCTGGGAGAGGTCGAGGCCAGCCTGGTCTACAATAGCTAGTCCCAGGACAGTTATGGCTGTTACACAGAGAAACCCTGTCTTGAAAAACCAAAAAGAAAAAAAAAAAAGAAAGAATCTGTCCCAGACTGCCCTTTTCTGAGAAAAGAGAGACAGAGAAGTGAATCTTGGGGAGAAGGGAGGTGGTAGGCGGCGAGGAAGAAGGGGAAACTGCGGTTGGGATGAAATATATGAGAGAAGAATAAAAAAATAAAAAGTCTGTCCCATTCAAATGACCTTTAGATATCTTCTGCTGATGTTTTGTGAACTGCAATTGGATTCCCCTTTTATTTCTTAAAGCAGGTCCAGCTTACTTTTTAAATTACTTTGGGTGAAGGGCATTGTTGGGGAATCTTCCAAGCCTGGCACACAATAAACAAGTGTTTTTCCAGTGGTTCCTTTTTAAACACAGCTAACCATACTTCCATATTTTTAAGTGTTTTCTTGCATTTTTGGAAATTTGGTTTGGTCTATTAAGCGATAATTATCATTTTCAACTGTTTAAGTTTTTTTGAAGTTTTCCTCACATCTCTAGAAGGCCCCTTCAATCTCAGATGTCCACACTCACTGTGACATGCAGTCGGGATGGCAAGAACACTGCTGCCTGAACTGTGTTCTGCTCTGGCTCTGTTCTGCCACTGCCTTGCTGGGACCACATCCTCCCATCCTCCCCCTGTGCCTGACTCTCACCTGTAACATGAAACCAGTGGTTCTCAGCCTCCCTAAAACTGAGACTCTTTACCACAGTGATCCTCAGCCTCCCTAACACTGAGGCCCTCTAACACAATGGTCCTCAGCCTCCCTAACACTGAGGCCCTTTAATACAGTTGCCTCCCTAATGCTAAGACCCTTTTCCGCAGTGTTCTCAATCTTTCTAATGCTGTGACACTTTAATACAGTTCCTCATGTTGTGGTGACCCCAAGCCATAAAATTAGTTTCGTTGATAACTTCATAAGTGTAATTTTGTTACTGTTACAAATCATAATGCAAATATCTGTGGTTTCCCATGGTCTTAAGCAACCCCTGAGAAAGGGTTGTTCAACCCCCAAAGAGGTTGCAACCCACACATTGAGAACTACAGCATTAGAATATTACGAGTTACATCCTGACTCTATAGAGACCTCAAAAGTGCTGCAAACTATTTATAGGACTTATGTTATTGGTAAATTAACAGCATTAAAACATTGCATTTATTTAAATTTATATAAAGGCTCTTCCTCAATATTTGGAATTTTACAAAAAAGTCTTAATTGAATTATCTAGCTTATCATAAAAAGTCACCAGGAGACTTAAGAATCTAAGCAGCTCTTCTGTCATTCCTCCTTTCCAGGTCTCCTAAGCAATAGCCTGCTTCAAAGTGTAAACACAAGGATGAAGAATTAGAATTCAAGATAAACTTGCAAGACTCAAACTATTTTGTTATCTTTATCTGAAATATATTTTTTTAAAAAAAAGCTTCCAAAATATAAATGTAAAAAAGTCAATGTCTTGCTTTAAATTAGGATTTTATTCTTGCTATACTACATTTCACTGATTATCTTAGTTTCCCACAGCTGCAGGCAGCCTTCTGTGTTCCGTATAACTCACAGTCTACCACTCTGGTTTCCACATCTGTGCCTACAAACTTTAGGAAATGGGTACAATCAGTCCATTTTCTTTATTACTAGCGACAAATGCATGAGTAAATTAAAAAGCTTTTTGCTGAGTTGAGTAATCTGTGTTTAAAGAAGAAACAGTTAATTCCACAAATACTTAAAGCCTACTCAAAGTAGGCCACTGCACTACTGATTTAAATAGAAAGTTATGTTATTTAAAGAACTTATCTACTGAACAACTGTGTTATTTAAAAAGTTAGGAAGTAGATTTATTTGAACTAGGAGACCACAGTAGAGCACTATAGCAATGACTTCCAGGAGCCACCCATAAGCAGGTGCGTAGATACAGGAGAGAAGAGAGTGCTTTGGAGTATTTTGTTTTGCTGTAAACTTTGTAATTCAAATATAAACTATCCATTCTCCTTTGATACTTTTCTTTAGTTAGAATGAATCACCCACAATCTTTCTTTTTTGACCAACAGTCTACACTGACATGATTCAGAGTCAGACCAAAGATGCAGGCTGGCCTTCCTAACGACAGCAACCTGAAAAGCTAAGTTACTGAAGCTGGCTCAACCTCCTGGCTTGGAGAAAAGAACAAGAGTCCAGTGAGGGGCAGCAATACCCCCGTCTGACAGAAAGCACTCCTCAGGATACAGCTCCTCAGGCCAAGGAGAGCAAAAGACTAAGGAATCCTTTCCAAAGGCTAAAGAAAACACCAATAGCACATCCACACCACTATCTGGGAAGTACAGTAATTACAGGGGTCTCTCAAGTCCATTTAATTTTATTGCTGAATTCATTTGAAAAGTGCTTTTAAAATGTCTAAATTACACCACCATCCATTTCCTATCATTATACTATAAATAGCTGGTCGTTTTTAATGAAAAATGACATTAATCGGCCAGCACTTGTTATAAAAAGTGATTATACAAAAAATAACTATCAAACCAAATTCATCAAAGAAACACACTAAGTCATCGTGCCAAAGTTACCACAGGTTTAAAACACACAGGATGAGCAGACTATGTCATTTAAAAAATAATAATAACTGAAAGAATGGTGGGACTGTGTACAAAATTACAAATCTAATAAAGAAAGTGAAATTTACAACTGAAAAAAATAAAACCTTGTTGGATACTTTCTAAACTTCCAGATCACTTTTTTGGTTTTAAAGAAGGCTTCTTATGCATAAGGAATAGTGTTCTTTTGCTATATCCCTATAAATTGCTATATACAGCGACTTTATTACGAGGAAAGATGCTGGCTTCGTACACGTCAGCCCACCTTTAAGCATCTGCTTGGACAAGGACGTCGGTGTGACTCACCACTTGCGCATCAATGGCGACCTGCGCAAAGCCTTTCCGGCTACCCCAGATGATGCTGTAGGTTTCATCACTGAGCAAGGCTTCTCGGACTCCTCCTGGTGAAATAGCCAGCAAGTGGCCACTCCTCAGGATTTCAACACATTTTTCTCTTGGCCCATGAAGAGCACAAAATACGTCTAGTAATAAACTGAACCCTGTAAAAAAAAAAAAAACCATAAGCACAAAGATATATCTTTATCTCGTTTGATTCATTTAAGAGCAAAACTCATCACGATCTATGCTATTTACTAGCTAGACTTTTATAAACTTTTTTAAGCCACTAGCTCTTAAGGTACAAGACCTGTTTCACTTATGAAGTAATATATATCTTACTGATCATCTACTATTGATTATTTTCTGCCTGATCACCTCCTTACTATGGTTACCTTACATTTTCAAATTCTTAATTAAAACCTTATCATGAAAAACAGAGATCGTTCTCCCCATTTTACAGATGACAAAAGCCAGGCTTAAAGGCTAAGTAGTGTATTCCAAGTCACACAATAGACTTTCCCACTGTGCTATGTCCAGTCCTAAGTACCTGCCACTGACTTTCAGGCCACATACAGTCTCACGTACTGTTAAAACAATCAGAGATGATGTCTCATCAGCAACTCAAATCTTTTTTTTTTCTTTTTGGATTTTTCAAGACAGGGTTTCTCCGTAGCTTTTTGGTTCCTGTCCTGGAACTAGCTCTTGTAGACCAGGCTGGCCTCGAACTCACAGAAATCTGCCTGCCTCTGCCACCCGAGTGCTGGGATTAAAGGCGTGCGCCACTGCCGCCCGGCAGCAACTCAAATCTAATCTCCCACTAACCCTGCAACAAAGAACCACCTGAGAAAATGTAAATCTGACTACATTCAGACATACTAAAATTAGCTAAGACTATAATCAAATCTATTGAAATAAAGTTAGATGATGCTAATCCTACAATTAAATTTTTATAACAACAGCAAATAAGTATCGTTGAGAACTTGAATCAACTGAGGAAGGGTATTTGACCCAGGAAGAGCTAATAATTCCAAACCTTAGCATCATAGAACCTTTCACACTATGACTTCCCTGCATGAAAGACATCCTGTCAATGAAAAGTACTTTAATAAAAACCCTACAGTGGACCTTCATGTGATCTCCGTATTTTCCTGCTTGAGACCGAGGACATGGATGGGTCCTAGAACTGGGCAGGCTAACATTGCTTCCCAGTGCCCTACTGAGCAGAACCAACATTATAGATGTCATAGGGAACTAAGGGAAGGTAGAACACAAAATTTCTCTCTTGCACTAAGAATTAAAATAAATGACTAAAGGTAAATCAGTGTCAAATATAGTATGGGGATAGAGGAAAAAATGTTTTGAAAAACCTAAAAATGTTCAGTTTTCTTATTTAGGAAAATGGAAAGCTAAACGCAAACCCATGCTCTGTAACAGAACAATAGTGAAGCCAACACTTGAACCAGATATTAAAACTGTCCTTGGCTGGGGTGTGGTTCAGAGGTACGACTGCTTGGCTAGCATGTGGAAGGGCCCTAGCTTTAACCTCCAGAAGCGGACAAGTATAGAAGGCACTGTAAGACAGTAATGCTTACCATTAAATCTTTTGGGAGCATAAAACCCACAAAATTGTAAGTATGTGAAAATGTCACTTAAAGAAATCAAAATAACTAGTTATGGTGCGATTCTAATACCCTCTGGTCCCAATCTGCAGAACGTCATCGCATTCTTTCTGGAGGAAAGCCTCATCTGATTTAGCGTATACACAAAGTAGAAATGGGGGTTCCGGCACAGACTAACACACTAACCATATATATGGAAGGCACTGGAGTAGGCTGGTCCTTAACTTGCTGCTGGGCTTGAGTCTGCTTGCTGGGCCAGCTCTGCCTTTAGCATTCCAGAGAGCATACTATCAACTCTCCTGGCTTGTTTCTAATGATTTAGTGATGAAAGAAAATAAGATTTATCTTCAGTAAGATCATTCAATGAGTTGTTATTTTTTTTTAAAAAAAAAAAAAGAACTAGTTTATCTTAAACAATCTGAGTAACTTTTAAAAACTATAAAGCTATTATGAGTAGACTTAAAATGCAGTGCTCATCCTGAAGAGCATGAGTCCCTGAGGCAGCTCAGACTAGATGAGACATGATATATGGGCATACTCTTTAGGACAGTGAGGACAAACACAGCCTGTATACTTTTTCTCTAATTTTGATTTGCTACTAAACTTTAACAGAATTAAACAAGAAAAAATTATCTTACAAAAAATATGAAATTTTAACTACCTTGTATACAAAATTATATATCTTTTCTTAAAAATTCTACTTGAAAATTCAAGATTTGGGTTAGGGATATAGCTGAATACAGAGCAGGTACCTCATGTCCCATCTGCACCATCATAATAAAGAAACAAAATTCAAGACTTAAGCCTGTCCTTGGGGCACAAATGTTTGCAGTCCGCCTGCCTGGTGGACTGAGGCAGAAGGCTTACTCGAGAAACCAGGCTGAAAGCCAGGCTGGGTAACCAGCAGGAAATAGGACCGGAGGGCTGCACTTTAGTGGGAGAAGGTTTGCCTCCTAGTTCATCCCCAGGGGTCAATCCCCAGGAGAGCCAAAAGCAAAGCAAAAAGAGAGGAGGAAGAAGGAAGAGAATAATCGGAGTCAGTGTGGAAGAAAGGGAGGAAGAAGCAGGGATAATTAGAGCCAGCAGTGGTGGCCACACCTAGAAATCCAGGACTCTAGAGCAGCTAAGGAAGGGTTACCACTCAAGTCAGGTCAGGCTTCTTAAACTGGATAATTAGATGTTTTCAAATCTGTTATCCTTAGGAGGCAAACACGCCTTTATTTTTTCTTTTTTTGGTTTTTTGAGACAGGGTTTCTTTGTGTTATTTTGGAGCCTGTCCCGTGACTCGCTCTGTGGACCAGGCTGGCCTCAAACTCAGATCCACCTGCCTCGGCTTCCCGAGTGCTGGGATTAAAGGCGTGTGCCACCACTGCCTGGCTTGGCAAACACTCTAAACAACACTAAGGTCACACTACCACACAATCTGATCATTACACACAGTTGTTTTACCTGGGATTTTAAAGACAAAGTGGTCAGCTACTACTCGGCATGTTCTGCCCTTGTGGATGAAAATCTTAGCCATGAAGTAGTAAAAGTCTATGGGAATCGCTCCATGATAAAAAATGATAAGCGCTGGTCCTTCCGGTATCTTTTCCATCCCATGAACTTCGTAACCTGTTGGGAAGACAAGTTGCTGATACATAAAATGCAGTAAATTAAAATAGGTCTCTGCTGCCCTGTTCGCTTCTTTTGGATAGTTCTTCCCCTTTCCCAGAATTTTGGACACAGAATAATTTGGTTCTATGGTCTTACAGTGTGACAGAATGAACATGGCACTCGAGTGGCTCAGAGTCACCAGCAAGGGTGGCTCAGGAGAGGGAGCCCTCAGCAGGGAAGTGTAGCCCACGTGATGGGTGCTGGGGAAAAGGAAGGGAGTGGAGGACAGACAGCACAAATACAGCACGGGCGGGCGGGAGTGAAACAAGGGCAGAATCCACCCCAGCATGGGCTGGTAGCAGAGGTTAGAGCCAAGTGTGGAGGAGCTTATGCTAGGCTAGGGCTGCCTGCAGTCGACAGCCATCAGGGATCCCTCGCAAACTGCCTTAGCTTCCCCGTGACTCGCCGCCTAGTGTGGATGGTACCTACATTTTCTTCTGATGTCTATTTAACATAAGTAGGATTCTACTATGAATATATTTAGGGATCTTTTCTGTCCAACAGTGTACATGCTTCGGGAATGTATGAAGCATGAAAGAACCTTAGGCTATCGCACAGAGGTTCAGGGAAGTTATTTCCGAGGTACACTAGGAAGCAGAGTGAGGGTACAGTCTTGGACAAAGGGGTATAGACCCCTGCTTGAAACTGTTTCCTGAGGAGCAAAACAGAGGTAGAATATAAACTTCATCTATCAGAATACAAGGTTTAAAGAAGTAAAAGTGGATAAAAGTATTTACCAGTGTTTAGAGCACTCAAAAGAAAAAGGATTTACAGATATTTTAATATGAATATATTATTATCACAACACGTTAGCCAAAGAGGCGATCGGTGGTGGGTACCAGGACGCAAACCTGGGTCCTCTGCAGTAGTAACAGGTACTCCAAATGCTGAGCCATTCATCAAATCAGAATTTACCAAAGTCCAGTATAGAACAACGGTCACTAGAGACTGGACAAGGAGGGGTGAAATAGAGGGGTAAATGGACAACATGAACGCACAATGTAAGCATGCGTGGGAATCTTTCAGCGAATCCCCACTGTAGTGCTAATATGTGTTAGAAACTATTTTTTAAGACAGCAGGCTTTTATAAAGCAAAGTTACCCTTTATGTTTTTTCTTTAGGCGCCTGCTTGCCCTTCCACTTTTACGCTATGCATGAAGCCACCTGAGACTTTCACCAGGAACCAAAGGTATCCGCCTATGCTCTTAAAACATTTAGAATTGAGCCATTTACAAATTACCCAATTTCAGGTATTCTGTTATGGAAACGACAGGGACTGTGGCACATATAGATCGAACCTTTGGCACTTCTATAAAGTCCAAATGCATCCCACCTATAAATAAGGGACTGGTGGAAAATGAAGTAAAAGAGGAAGGCACAAGCCCTTGGAAGCAGACAACTGGAGGCAGTTTTCACGGCGGACAAAAGCTGAGCCACTGGTCACTAAATGCACGGTGTCACAGCTTCTCCGGATTAGCAAGAAAGAAGTGGACTCCCACCTCACTTATCTGGGGAGACACGCCAACTTCTTAGATGATCAAGTGACAAACAAGTAAACACCACTATACAACTTATATTTATGTTTACTACTATGATATAATAGTTCATTCTTTAAAAAATGTCACACTGGTAGAATCAAATTTACTCTCAACAGAATAACAGTAGCACACGCCTTTAATCCCAGCACTTGGGAAGCAGAGGCATGTGGATCTCTGTGAGTTCAAAGCCAGTTTGTTCTACACAAAGTTCCAGGATAGTCAGGGCTACATAGAAACCCTGTCTCTAAGAAGTAAAACTTAAAAAAAAAAAAAAAAAAAAAGGAAAAGAAAAAGAAAAAGGAAAAGGAAAAAAAAAATCTAGTCAAGTAAGGTGGCACTGGCTATAACCCCAATAATATTCAGGAAGCGAAAGGAGGACTAAAAATTCCAGGCTGGCTAGACTACATAGCAAGACCGTCCTGCCTGCGCTCCCCCACCTGCGCCCCGCCTACCTTCTTCACATCTCAAAAAATAAAACCAGGTGTGGCTGCAAAGACAGCTCGGCAGACTTGCTGCTGTCGCAGAGGACCAGAGTTCAGTCTCCAACAGCCATTGATGGGGCTCACAAAAGCCCACAGCTCCAGCTCCAAGGGATCTGACATCCTCCTCCGGCCTCTACCAGCACAGTCGCCCACACGTACACATACACACACAATCAGAATAAATAAATATTTTAAAACAACAAGAAAAAGCAGTTTCTATGAAGTAGAAAGAGGTCAGTAAGGAGAGAAAGAGGCCTGAGGGGAAAAGGAACAAGGGAACAAAAGACAGTTATGGGATATATGTGAAATAAAAGCAGAAGGACTGCTTAAAGCAGGAGGGATAAAAAGGAGGTGGGGATGGGGAGAGGAAAAGGAACTGGCCATGAAGAAGAACAAAGTATAACAACAGATACATATGAAAATGTCACAAGAAAAGCTATTACTCTGTGTGGTAAGAAAAGAAGAAATTTTGACAATTTTAAGTAGTTTTTATAGATGCTTTAAGCATCAATTTTCATATTTCAGTTCATTGTAATTGACAGCGCTGTCGGGTGGTGGTGGTGCACACCTTTAATCCCAGCACTCAGCAGGCAAAGGCAGGCAGATCCCTGTGAGTTTGAGGCCAGCTTAGTCTATAAGAGCTAGTTTCAGGACAGGTACCAGAGCTACACAGAGAAACCCTGTCTCGAAAAACAAACAAAAGAGAGAGAGAGAGAGAGAGAGAGAGAGCTATGTAATTCTTCAACAGAAACAAATGTGTTTAGGAAACATCATTTAAAGACATACATATACACAATACATGTAAACAGATTAACAAGGAATTGTAAATATCCTTTCCATCCTATTTTTTAGTAACTTCCCAATCAAGAAACAGAAACATGGTGTCAGTGCTCCACACCATGGCAACAGATACCACGGTATCCCTGCTTACCATGGCAACAGATACCACGGTATCCCTGCTTACCATGCCAAACCGCTGCGTGTCCATCCCACAGAGTGGCCACTGTTTTCCTTGCGCCATTCCATAAATTATGAGAGTAGGCTTCCTTTAACACATTCTTCCTCTTATAGATGTGCAGAAAAACCACAGTAAGATAGAGAAGAAAGATGGTAAAGTAAGGGAGTATTAAAAGTATCAGTGGGGTAAAAACCCACAAGAGATGGCTTGCAAAATTCAAATAGTCCTCCAACTGCTCCACACCCAGCCACTGCTCAAGCACGTGAATCAAACAAGTCATGTAGGGCACGGAGGCCTGGCCTGCAGCACAGGTTTGGTTGTTGTCTGTCATTTTCTTCAGATGAAAACCCCAGATTCTGTCTCTTTCTTCATTGCCATATGTTTTAATCTCAACACTAGAAGGGAAAATAATTCAGTTACACTCTTCACACATACACAAAGTTAAATATTTTAGTCTGCATAAAAGATGATAGATTTTTAATGTGACAAGGATAACATTTTGTCTACGAAATTATGAAAAGTGTTGGGTTTAGCTTTTTGGTTTTGTTTTGTTTCCGAGACAGGCTTTCTCTGTGAAGCCCTGGCTGTCCAGCAACTTAGTGTGTATAGCAGGCTAGCCTTGAACTCACAGAGATCCACTTGCCTCTGCCCCCCCCCCCCTGTGCTGGGATGAAAGGCATGCGCCACCATACCTGGCAGGGAATAGCTTCTAAAGGAACCCCTAAGCCGGGCGGTGGTGGCGCACGCCTTTAATCCCAGCACTTGGGAGGCAGAGGCAGGCGGATCTCTGTGAGTTCGAGACCAGCCTGGTCTACAAGAGCTAGTTCCAGGACAGGCTCCAAAACCACAGAGAAACCCTGTCTCGAAAAACCAAAAAAAAAAAATAAAATAAAATAAAGTAACCCCTAAGCTGTGACTGAGACAGGAAAACAGCTCAGATGTTACTCTAGCTCATCTTCCATGGATAACTAATGCAGAGTGAGCACAGCTCGGATGTTACTCCAGCTCAACTTCCGTGGATCATGCACACCATTTTCCACTTTACACTGAGACCAACTGTGTCCCTCACAAAGGAAAACATCAGTACTTTCAGTAAAGCAACCCAAAGCTTTAGGAAATGATAACATACATGTATGGATATTTTCTTTCTTTTTTTTTTTTTTTTTTTTTTTAGATTTTCGAGACAGGGTTTCTCGGTAGCTTTTGGTTCCTGTCCTGGAACTAGCTCTTATAGACCAGGCTGGCCTCGAACTCACAGAGATCCACCTGCCTCTGACTCCCAAGTGCTAAGATTAAAAACGTGTGCCACCACCGCCCGGCTTGGATATTTTCTTTATGGAGAAACAGGTTTCATAGGAGCCTGTCTGCTCTTCTGATACACAGAATTTTAAAAATTATACATATATCATTTATTTTACAGTCACTAAAATTTCTATTAAAACATAAATAACTAAAAACATAGCTACAAGTTTTGTATGAAGTCATCGTCTAAAACAAGTACTTGACTTACCAGAAATTATACAAATATCTTGTCTTTAGCTTCAATATAAGTGCTCTGAAAACACAGTAAACAAATGAAATATATCATTAAATAAAAATCATTACAGCTAAGTTTACATTTCCATGGACTAAGTGGCAGGAGGCAGGCACAAATCTGACAAATAATGATAGTCCTAGGTGTGTCACAGGTTAGTCACACTCAGGACACCTCTGCGTAGCTGAAGACTGCTGATTATACATTACACTATTCTACCAAAGCTCACATGAACCTGCATTTGCATCTATAAGGGGGACACAGAAATGTAGGGTGTCTCAATGGCTGTCACTCAAATTGCTAAATATATTGGACAATACAACGATATTAATCTTATATAATTATCTACACAAGGTTTCCTTCTTTCTTTCATATTTTCACTGGTTCAAAGTCTGATCTAAACAGTTTAACTATCATTTCATATTGCATAATCTTAAGAAAGTCCTCTCAGATTCTTTGTGAGAGTCAGGAAAGGAATAAAAGAGAGGTACTAAACCAGACCCTCGCACAAGAGCAATTACATATTGTCTTGTTATCAAGATTACCTTGCTAGCTTTATGACAGTACACACTTGAACTAACAGGGTATTAGGTCTGATTTCCTTGTAACCAATAGCATTTATCTGTGAGAAAACCAGGTCTATTCTGTTCACAGAGGATGAACACAGCATAACTTTTATTTTCAACAAAAGCAGCAATATTAGACTTTATGGTTTAAAGTTACTAGAAAAAAAAAGACACAGGGAAAACTGTGCCCCCCAAAGCACAAACATCAAAAGTAAAAAAGTGACAACGGGAAAAACAGCTACACACTAAAGTTTCCCCCACAGCAGGCTATTTCTAGATTGTACTTAGCCCTCAAAAGGTTCAACAACAACAACAAAAAGTATAAATAATCCCATTAAAAACAGAAGGCTAATGATTTGAATAGTCACTTCTCAGGAGATAATACAAGTGACCAACAAGCAGAAGAAAAATACTCAGCATCGCTCTGTAGCTACTCCTGGCTGTCGACCGCCTAAGAAGCAAATCTCTGTGAAGGTCTGTGAGGATTTTTCTTTAGGGCTATGTTAACTGAGGTGGGAAGTCTCACGCTAAATTCGATGGTACCATCTCATGCTCTAATACACGAAATCAGTCTCAAAGATAAAGAATAGTGTGCTGGGTGGTGGTACCCGCCTTTAATCTCAGCACTCAACCACGCAAAGACGCAGAGGCAGGTGGATCACTGTAAGTTTGAGGAGAGCTGTTCTACAAAGTGAGTTCCAGGACAACTAGGGCTACACAGAGAAACCCTGTTTGGAAAACAAAACAAACAAACAAAAAGAATAGTGGTTACTATAGCCCAGGACAAGAGCAGGGGAGGAAGGATAGAGACAGGATGATCTAATGGGTAGAGGACACAGCCAAAAGCAAGAGTTAACTTTGAAAGTCTAGTAGGAAAACTGTTTCTCACAAAATGACTACCCCAAAACAGCTAATAAAGCACAGTCTGGCCAGGTGTTGGTGCTGCACACCTTCAATCCCAGCAGATGGATCTCTGTGTGTTCAAGGCCAGCCTAGTGTACAAGAGCTAGTTCCAGAACAGGCTCCAAGGTTACAGAGAAACCCTGTCTAAAAAAAAAAAAAATTATTACCTGACCCTATAGGGAGGGTGCGTGACTGAGCATGTTCCATGTTGATGTGGAAGTGGAGGACAACTTTCATGAGTCAGTTCATGCTTTGCAGCACGCACCTTTAACCAGTAAGCCTTCTCCCCCGTGTCCAGGTGGCATTTAACAAGAAAAGGGGAAAACAAATTGCGAGTTCAAGCTTCTCTCTCCAGGTTCTGACATACATTACATTTCAAGGATTTTGTTTTTTAAATATAAAAAATACTCTTCTAGCCGAGCAGTGGTAGCACACGCCTTTAATCCCAGCACTCCAGAGGCAGGCAGGCAGAATCTCTGTGAGTTCAAGGCCAGTGTGGTCCACAGTTCCAACACAGGCTCCAAAGCTAGAGAAACCCTGTCTCGGGGGAAAAAAAATGTTCTACTTTTGGCTAAAATCTTCCACTCTTTTGATAACTGCTGTTCTATGCTACAGTATATTCTAAGTATAATCACTCATGCCAATAATGCTGTAATACATTCATTTATCTATCTACTTATCTGTCATCTATCTTTCTATTTACTTTGAGCCAGAGTCTGTGTGGCCCTGACTTGTTTCGCGACCAAGCAGGCCTTGAACTCATAGAAATCTGTCTCCATCTGCTTCCTAAATCTGAGATTCAAGGTATGTGCAACCATGCCCCGCTAAAATACACATCTAGACTGGTGTGCCTGCATGTGCAGTACTTCTTCCTTCCTAACCCCTAAATCTATTTCTGACCTAAAATAAACCAGTGTTAGTAAAGTGGTAATAAACATTTCCTTTCAAAATTAAAGCATCTCCATAGATTCACAAACGCGGCTCGAATACAAATGAGCATTCTAAATATCTAGATTTCATTTCAGTTCTTTTATAGCCCAGAAATAGTTAGTAGCATAAACTAAGTCCTCAACGATCCAACAACCTTAGAGCATAAGCTTGTTTTGTTTTTGAAGGAGCTGTTGGTCAGTCTCAAGCAGCACCTAGCACTAAATGTCTTGTTTTCTCTCCAAATACAGCACAACTCTAAGTTTTCTATATCCAATGTATGTACTATTATTTCTTACTAAATGTTTACTGGATTGGAAAACCCAGCGACCAAAGCAACGCAGCATCTACAAGGTCTGGGCCGACTCGAATTTGCAAATATAAAAGTTTATAAGGGTTGCTTCCTTTGATCCTGTCCGCAACCTCACGGGGTAATTATTGCTATTCGGCCCCTTTTTATAGATGATCAGATGCTGTTCAGAAAGGGCCAAATCACTCGCCAGGTCACACGGTACTAAAGAGCACAAACTAGGATCCCAAGCCTGCACGGTCGGCACCCCATCCATCCTCGTCCCTAGAGCCTCACGCTTCCCTCCAGCTCCATCACCAGACGCTAGAGAAGCCCAGCCTCACAAGAGAAGCTGCGGGAAGGTCCGGGAGCAGAGAGGATGCGCACGGGTCTCTGAAAGCCCGCGGGTGACGGGTGTGACAGTAACTCCGCTCCCCGCCGGAGAAGCGCAGCCCAGGGGACCAGCCCGCCTTTCCGTTCCCCGTCCCGCGACCCCGCCTGCCACAAGCTGGAGCAGCGCGGGGAGGTCCGGGATGGGGTCACGCACCTGCCGCGGGAGGCACGGAAAGCCAGACAGTCCTCAGCGACGTCGGCAGCTACTCCGCGCGGCGAGCTCCCCTTAAGCACCTGTGAGGAAGAAGCCCGGGCCACCTTGGCAGTGACACCGCCCTCTCCCCGCCCCTTCCGGTAGTCGCAGTTGCTGCTTCCGTTGTGCCTGGCGGGCTCCGGGCTCGAGCGTTCCCGGGTGCGTTCCGGCTCCTCCGCCCCGGCCGCTGAGTCTGATCTCTGTCTCCAGCAACCGAGCAGAGGCCCAGCCCCGCCGGGGACAGGAGAGCCACCCCGGAGAACAAAATGTGCTGCGAGAAGTGGAGCCACGTGGCCGAAATGCTGCTCTTCATTGAAAACCGCGACGAGGAGGACACGATCCATTGCCTCTGTTCCCGGGCGTTTGTGGAGTAAGTCGTGACTGGCCTCTTCCTTTTTCTCCTTGCTCGGGACTCGGGGTGTCGCTGAGGTCGAGTGAGGCTTTCCTGAAAGCCAGATGACCTGCTTCTAGGCCTTAGTGGTGGCTACGGAAACTCGAAGCCCCTCAGTCGTGACGGGGTGCTCTCCTACTGCCATTGCTAAAGGAAAGATTAGTTCTGAGATTTTTAACGTGTGGTGGCTTTCATATGTTATTTCACACTTATAAACTAAGGCCAGTCTCAAAGTTGAGTGGGTTGGACGAGGTGGACCGGGCCTGTAATCACAGCACCTCAGTAGCAGAGGCAGGATCAGGAGGGGGGCTTGAGACCAGCTTCAGCTACACGAGTAAGATAGAGGTGTGAAGTGTAAACCAAAAGCTGTAGCATAATGAGGCGAAAGTTCGAGGCAGAGCCCCCTTTTCAAACTGTAAAATCTTTTCCAACAGAAATTCACAGATTATTTGAGATGAAAGCCTTAAGTCTGTTGACAGCAGTGGTGGGGGACATGTTTGTTAAAAATTGCCTGAGTGGGACGAACCGACTGGTAGTAAAAGCACCGAAAAGAAAATTCGGACCTAGACATTCTTTTCATTATGTTAATAATATGAATTAAGCCACCTAAGTCGGTTTTTTGTTTGTTTGTTTATCCCTAGAAAATGTGTTTTTACCCCAGTGTCACGTGCTTCTCAATAAATTCAGATCTTTATGGAAGTGAATTTATAGCTTAAGATTTTAAGTTGATGGGTGCTCTTTCATTATGTACTCGGGGAAGAACTCTGAAAGTTCCTCAAAATAAAACACCATGTTAAATCTATTATCTAAAAATAGTGTCCTTATTGTAGTTGGGTGTGCATTTAATTCAGTGAAGGTTTTTGTTTTGTTTTTTTTTTGTGTGTACTCCTATTAGATGTGCTAATGGGCAATTATGAGACTGAACCGGGCTACACGGATTTACTTCCTAAGCAAAGGAGATCAATATTGTATTAAGATAGTTATCTACACAGTTATGCAATTAGTTATGGCTATGAAACAGGCCTGTGGTGCTCTGCTATGAATCTGTGGCAGGATTGAGAGTGGAAATTATGCAGCCTTGGGAAGGGAAAAGAACTCCTCCATCTAGGGTCTTCTTGAAGACTATGTCAAGTCAAAGTCAAGAATGCCAGCATTTTTAACAAAACTTGCTGGGCAGTGAGATGGCTCAATGAGTAAAGGCCTTTACCCCCTGTAATACTGAGGACCCGAGTTCAATCCCCAGGACCCACATGGTGGGAGGAATCAACCCCAAAAGTTTAAGACATGGTCTTACCAAGTGACTCTGGCTAGCCTGAAACTCACTTTTTAGGTCAGGCTGGCTTCAAACTCCCAGAGCTCTGCCTGCCTCTGCCTCCCAATACTAGGATTAAAGGTGTGTGCCACCACGCCGTGCTGTACATATTTTTCCTAAGAGAATGCTAAAATAATAGCCATGTTTAAGCAAAAGCATTTATGGTCTTCCTAGTTCCCAAATACTTTCTAGGAATGGCACCCAAGACTGAAATTTTACTTACAGTAAAAAATCTTAATTCCCCTAGACCAGTCATTCTCAACCTTCCTAATGCTGTGACCCATTAATACAGTTCCTCATGGTGACCTCCCAGCTATAAAGTTATTTTCATTTATAACTTTACACTACCTTGTACTACTTTATAACTGCAGTTTTGGTGCTGTTATGAATCATAATGTAAATATCTGTTTTTTTATTTTACACCAACCTGAACCGCTGCCCTAGCTATAATCCTATACCATCTGAAGCCGCTCTGTAATCTTATCTAAATTTCTTAATGACCCTCTGAGATAGAGCACCAGAAGCCACCAGAAACATGGCTGATGTGTTCAACTGAGGAATGAACCCCCAAAGATGAGGTCTTTGAACCATTGGTTCTCATCTAGTGGCACTATTTGGGAAGATGGTACATCACTTGGGCAGGCTTTGAGAGTTCATAACTGTCACTTCTGGTTTGCATTCTCTCTGCTTCATGTTTTCAGTTGAAGACGTGATCTCTCCACTTCCTGTTCCCGTTGCCTGCTGTCTTGTCTCCCCTGCCATTATGGACTCTCCCACTGGAATCGTAAGCCAAAATAAACTCTTCCCTACGTTGCTTTTGGTTGTGCTGTTTTACCACGGCAGCAGAAAGTAATTGGGACAGAAGTTGGTGTCAGAGAGTGGGCTGTCGCTGTGAAGAACCTGGCCGTGTTGGGTTTGGCTTTGTTTCGGGGTGATGTGGAAGACTTTGGGACTTTGACTAGATAAGAGGTTGAGTGCTATAAGAAGAGTTTGGCTGTAGTGTTGAGAGTAAGGCAGACTGTGGAGGCCCGGCTCGAGGGAAACAGGGACTGTAATACTAACTCAGCCAATCCTATGATGTTTTGTTAAAATCTAGCTATTTCCTGCCTGTGTCCTGAGTTGGATTCATTTCTTTTGCAGAGAAACCTTCAGGAGTACATGACATTGAGTCTGATGTGATTGATACTGATTGCCCTTACCCAGGTCGATAATAAAAAAAGAGAGCAGTGGGGAAAAAGGAAATAGAAAATGTAGTTTGGAGAGAAAGGGATCGCTGGACAGCTTATGTTACAGCCCAGGCTGTGGTGGGAGAGAGGCGATAACAGTTAATGAGGTTAGCACAGTTAGGGGAGCCTCCTGCTCTGCACCAGGACAAGTAGAGTGCCATAGGCTTCACCTAGCCAGCTCCTAGCTTGTAAGAGAGAAGGGTTTCAGGTTTCTGCTCCTGAAAAGCAGCTGCTCACAAAAGCTGCTGCAGTTGTGATCCCAGGAGCCCATGATCTATCCCAGCCAAGCAGCAAAGCGCGGCAGTTCTCTATGTGGTGGTAGCTTTGGAGTCATGAAAGGTGTGAGAGAGCGGGGTCCTGGATTCTTCCTGAATGGTTTCAGAGAGCCTCTGAGAGAAGCCAGGCAATTTGTTACATGGCTGGAATCACTGTATAAAGTGAAGGCCCTAAAAAGCTATTGCCTGTAGTGAAAATGAATCCTTAGTGGAGACCCCAGTTAATGAAGATGCTAGAGCCATGAAACATCTGCCAAGACTTAATGCAGGGTCTGGAAATAGCACAAGAGGTGGATGTTGCAGTCAGCAAGGAAGTGGAGGACTGAGCCATCTAAGCCCCCTTTGAAATTAAAAATTCAAGGCACAGGACATGGACCTACAGTCTTGCTTTGGTCCATTGTTTCCTCACTGTGCCCCATTTTTCTTTCTGTGCCACTCTGTATTGCAAGTATATAGCTTGGTTATTGATTTCGCAAGGTGGGTACAGTTAAGAGATTTGTCTTGAGTCACAAAAATCTAAAATATGAACTATAGTTTAAATTCAAAATCTCAACTTTGGTTTCTACTGAATGTGGGTATTCATTTCATGTCATAAAATTGAGCCACGGGCAGGAGAGATGGCTCAGTGGTTCAGAGGACCTGAGTTCAATTCCCAGTAACCACATGGTGGCTCACAACCATCTGTAATGAGATCTGGCACCCTCTTCTGGCCTGCAGGCATACATGGAGGAAGAATGTTGTATACATAATAAATAAAATCTTTAAAAAAAATTAAATTAAACCACAATTGTAGATTAGAGACAGTCTAGGCTTCTACACCATCCTATATATTTGGACCCCCTGCCTACTTCCCTCTCTGTCTCCTCTTTTTCGACCGTTTTCCTTCGGCTTCGTAGGCTGCCTTTTATTCCCTGTAGGCTTTACTCAGAGTTCAGGTTGCTAGGACAGCTTCTTCCTTTTCACACTTACCCCATTTGTTTCTTGTAGACCTCTCGCCAAGGCCATTTCTCCAAAGAAATCTGTCTGTAGAGAAAGTTTATGTCAGTTTCAGTGAGTCAGAAAGTGCAAAAACAACTCTGTGTTACCAGCAACACCCAGAGGCTACTTAGAGACAGCTACTTAGATGAAGACAGAGTGTTTAACTTAAAAGCAAGAAAGAATCTTAGGAAGCTGGGTTGGAGGTTAGAAGATTTTAACACAGAGGTTAAGCATGAATATTCCTAGAAAGAAGACTGCTTATGAAAAGGAAACACACCAAGAACTTGGGATTGTGCTTCTCACAAGTGTCTGCTATGCCTTCTGCAATAGTTATATTAGTTACTTTGTTGCTGCTGCAATAGAACACCATGACCAAAAGCAACTTGCAAGAGTTTATTTTGGAGTACTTTTCCAGAGGAACAGTGCCCGTAATGGAAGGCCCGGCAGCAGGAAACCACAGCAGCAGGAAACCACAGGAACGCAGTCTAGAGGTGGGCATGGCTAAATCCTGCCCCAAGTGATACATTTTGTCCAGCAAGTATGCACCACCTTCCTAAACAGTGCCCCTACCTGGGGACCAGTTTTCAAATACCTGAGCCTATAGAGGACATTGATCATTGAACCACAGCTTTGTGGCACCCACAGGCTCATGACCTCTGTTTGGGTTTGTGTTGTATATGTGTATACAGAGCTTATATATGAATGGGTGCACACACTGTCTGCTTGAGGGGGCCAGAGGAGAATGCCTACTGCTCTCTTCTGTCCCTCTCTGCCTTATTCCTTTCAGATGGAGTCTGTCACTGAAACCCACAGCTTGCTGTTTTGGCCAGACTGACTGACTGGCCATTGACCGTCCTTGCCAAACCCTGGAGTGACAGGCATGCACAGCAGGGGTTCTTAGCTGGAGCTGATTTCTTTGTTTCTCTACCTACCCAATTTGGCTACAATATTGTGGTTTGAATGAGGATGGCCCCATATGTTTGAATCCAGTCACTGGAACTATTTGGGAAGCATTAGGTGTGTCACTGGGGGTGAACTTTGAGGTTTCAGACACCCACACCAGGCCTGGTCAGAATCAGTCTACTTATCTGTGTTGTGTGTCATGATGTGTTGGGTCCCCGTCCCCCTACCTGCTGCCTGAGAATCAGAATGTAGAACTCTCCAGCCACATTCCCATCTGCTTCCTGCCATAATGGTCATAGACTAAGCAAACCCACAACTAATGCTTCATTTTATAAGAGTTGCCTTGGTCGTGGTGTCCCTTGACAGCAGCAGAACTAAGAAGTATCTCAAAGACAGTGTAGAACTTTACAATTCTACTAAAACGTCGAGAAATTAACACAAAATAACCTAATCAGTAAATGGACACATAAGACATTTCTCAAAAGATTAGATACAAATTATCAATAAATGCATGGGAAAATGTTCATCCTTAGACGTAAGGGAAATTTAAAACCCAAACTACTTAGAGATTCCATCCTACTCTGGAATAATTGTTCTTAAGAAAACAAATAACAGTCCTAGCAGTTCTCTAGAATTGAGTGAGAAAAGCTATGGAACTATTGGATGGAATCATCCATTATGAAAATCATCAAAAAAAAACAAAGCTACCTGGTAATCCAGATAGACCACTTCTGGTAATAGAGCCAAAGGAATCTAAGTTCACGTACTATAAAGTAACTGCTTATTATGTATATTGTGGTAGTACTAGTCACAATAACCAAGTTAGGAGTCAGTCTAGGTATCCTTGAACAGATGAACAGGTAAATCAGCTGTGGTCTATAAAGAAAATGAAGTTGTCCCTTGAAAGCAAATGAACTGTGGATAATCATTTTCTCTCAGATGTGGAGTCTAGATTTTATGTATGTGTGCACATATAGGATCTACACAACATTAGAAATGTGGAGTATTTGGTGCATGGTACAATATGTGTGCCAATACTGTACCACTGTAGCTTCCAGGTTGGGGACAGCTAGAGAAAAGGAAAGTGGGTGGCAGGGAGGGGAGCAAAAGATAATGGGGGGACATTAGTGGTGAAAGTAGATGGTAGATTTGAAATCCATCAGTGTGCAATGATTATGCTAATAAAACTTTTTAAAAGAAAGCATTAAAATGCAGAAAATTTACTAGTGAATCTTTGTAGCACTAATAAAACAAAAATAATAAAGCCCCAGAGAAGAAAACTTTAAGCAGGAGAATGAAATGGTTGTATCAGTTTGCCCCAGCCATTACATTAACATTTTTAAAAGATTCAGCTGGTTTATAGAAGGACCACTCAAACTTAGAGTGGGGAAGAGAATATAGTAGTTTCTAGCCTGTTGGGAGGAGGGCTGCTTGTTGATTCCGACTGCCCAGAACCAAAATAATTACACAGAAACTGTATTATTTAAATCACTGCTTGGCCCCTTAGCTCTAGCTTCTTATTGGCTAACTCTTACATATTAATTTAACCCATTTCTATTAATCTGTGTATCACCACAAGGCTGTGGCTTACCAGTTAAAGTTTCAGTGTCTGTCTGCTGCGGACCTACATGGCTTCCTCTGACTCCCTCCTTCTTTTTCCCAGTATCAGCTTAGTTTTCCCTGCCTAGCTCTGTTCCCCTATAGCTCTGCTATAGGCCCAAAGCAGTTCCTTTTTTAACCAGTGATATTCACAGCATACAGAGGGGAATCCCACATCGCTAGCCCAGTATAGGCTTTATAGTAAGACCATATCACAACACAATTTTTAAAATTAGAAACGGCAATAGAAAAGGGATGGGGGGAGGGGATGAGTAGCTCTGGGGATTGGATTGAGAAGAGTAAAGTAAGGGAAAAGCATATAAAGGACAAGAGCCATTCATCAGAATACAAAATATCTATACTATGATGTAAGATTGTGTGCTTAGAATAAGGCCTGCAAGCCTTAGCCTTCATTAACACCTTACCCCTCCAACAGCTATTTCTAAAGGTTGTGGTTTATCAGCACGTTGTAAGGAGTGCTTTTCCTTCTATTTCTGTATATTCATATTTCTTAATGTTGGTGTAGATTTTTTTTCTAAGATAGATTCTCACTATGTATCCCAAGTTAGCCTCACCTCAAACCTGTGTATTCTTCCTGCCTCAGCCTCCAGGATACTGGGATTATAGATGTGTGACACTCTACCTAGCCTGACATTTAGTTCATTGAAAGTTATAGTCCATTGCCGTTGTTGATACTTCTTTTCATACGATCTTTAATGTTCCCAGTGAGAGACCTTTTGGAGTGGCTGTTATTGCCCACATGACATGACATGCCCTTGACACAGATAGCCCAGACTTTTCTGTCCAGGCAAGTTGGTTCTTTTAGTAGGTAGCAGTACTTGCCTTGAGTTTTTTTCCATTATTGTGATGAAAATGGACTGGAATATTTGCAACTTAGAGGAGAAAGGGTTCATTCCAGCTCTCAGCTCCAGGGTTCAGTCTGATGGCAGAAGATACAAAATAATCCCACATTAGTTCAGAATTATGTATAATAAAAGGCTATTTATTTAGGGGAGACTTATGGATCACTGTCCTAGATCACAGTCCTCTGCACGAAGGGGGAGCAGGAACAGATTCTAACAGCCAGAAGTGAGAGCTGGAAGCAAGAGAGCGAACACAGGCTTTACAGCTGCATTTATATATAAGAGACAATGCCCAAGTGGGCTAGTATCGCAGATCTCATTCAGGCCACAGTTGGAAGGGAAAGGCAGTATGAATGCATGCATGCTATTCTGTCCATTTTCAAACTTCAGAATGCCCAAGATCAGACGTGCTGGGGAATGATGCCACCCCCTTGTGGGTAGGCCTCCTACATCAGTTAATGCAATTAAGATAACCCTTACAAATATGGGTCCTTCCAGGGGTTCTGAATCGTGTCAGATTGCCGATTAAAGAACCGTCCCAGAACTTTAAAACTAATACCTGTGTGTTCGTTGTGTTTGTTGTTCCTGTGTCTTCTCAGTACAGGTACACAGTATCCATATGAACTGTAGTATATATAGGAATGTGTGTGTTTGCATATATGTACACATTCAACATTTTAAACTGCTTCTATACTTGCTGTGTATGTAATGCCATGAGTTTATAATACTGAACCAATATCTTGGGTTCTTCACAGCCTTTCAGGTTTCCAAATAATGTCTTGTATTCAATATATTCTTAGCTGACCTCGTTTAACAAGGCAATTCTTAGCTGTCTTCCTCAATATGTTCCCCTATTTGTTCATTTTAGCCATAATGGTAATCATACTGACACTCCATATCTGTGGGTGCCAGTAGACAAAACAAACACTAATGCCTGTGTGAGGCTCCCACTCCTTTCCTTACCCACAGTGCTTGTGTTCCTGGTGGATAGTGGGACTAGCATTTGCACTTTATCTCCTTCCTGTTCACTGTTCTGTGAGTAGCTATCTACCTTATATTTCATAGCAAGCACACAAGAGTTTTATTTTATGAAGTTTATTGTAAGTTCACCAGAAATTAGTATCAATGCCAGGCATTGTCATTCATACCTATAATCCTAGCAGTTGTAATACTCAAAGGGGGTGGTCCTATGGTGAGACCCTATCAAAGAAAGGAGACCGGAGGAGGTAGTTTTCAGCTACAATGTGTAGTACATGTTTATATAGTGTTCTGTAGGTTTATTTTAGTAATGAAATTCCAGTTATAGTAATTAAAAAACTTAGAAATAGGTGTGCTGAGAAAAAGCTGAGTAAGAATTGTGTAATAGATATTCCTCCTATTATAAGTACATTGCAGTATGCATACAGCTTTATATGGGTAAGCTCAACCTTTCCACTATTGGAATATATTTAGATGTTACCAAAAACCATATTTTCCCCCAATATCCAGGAGAAATTCCAGGTGATTTTAAAGGTCAGTAATTCTAAGTGCTATCATATGTTTTATATAGTCAATTTTTACAACTCCGTGAGAGACATTATTGCCTCTATGTAGGTAATAAAAATGCATTAGCAGGGGTTGGAGAGATGGCTCACTGGTTAAGAGCATTGCCTGCTCTTCCAAAGATCCTGAGTTCAATTCCCAGAAACCACATGGTGGCTCACAACCATCTGTAATGCGGTCTGGTGCCCTCTTCTGGCCTGCAGGCATACACACAGATAGAATACTGTATACATAACAAATAAATATTTTTTTAAAAAAAATGCTTTAGCAGGTTACTATTCTATTTTTTTTTAACCATTTTATTAGCTAATCTTTTGACTGTTAACCCATTCTTCTTTCCGGGTTTATAGTTAACTTATTCCAATGGACTATTTATTTTGCTTCACAGGGATCGAAAACTATACAACTTGGGGTTAAAAGGCTACTATGTCAGAAGCAGTGACAATAATGCAGGTAATGTAAAGAAGACTGCACGGCCCTTTTATTTATATATATTTATGTATATAACTTGTGCCGATATGTTGTGCTTGCTGGCATAAAGTGGTGAATAGCATGAGTAGTAAGCAAATCTGTAATTGTAGACCCTGCCTTCACACTTGCGTGCGTACACATTTTAGATCCCCGTCAAAGCTGTCTTTTCTTTTCCTGTAGCTCGTATTGGCTTGGCTTAGACTTTCCTTTTTCCGCCATTCCTTCCTGATTTGTAACTATTAGCCTGGAATGTGAAACGTTTTTAAGCCTTTCTTTTTTTTTTTTTTTTAACTTTATGATACTGGTATTTTGCCTGCGTGTATGTAAGTGTGCTGCAAGCATGGAGCACCCTTAGAAATGAGAAGGCACCAGTCCCCCGATCTGTAATCCCAGGTGGTGTGGGCTACCATTTGGGGTTGAGAACCCAGCCCTGACCCCCCAGGAGAGCAGCCAGTCCACTGAGCCATGTCTCCAGCCTGAATTTGAAGTTTAGAAAAGCAGAAAACATGAAGTCCTCTGTCTGATTTCTACAGTAAAGGTAGATTAGGATGAATCCCTAGCAACCATCTCCACCTAGCCGTTTGCCTGAAGTACTGTGACTTCACGTTATACCTTCTCAGACTTCCCTAGTCCGTTTCTCCTCCCACATAACCTTAGGTTTCTCAGAGTGAGCAGAACTGCAGCACAAGTTAAAGCCAGACCGCCCAGCGTGGTCTGTCAGAGTTGCCTTCCAATACTTTCTCAAAGATGGAGCAAGGCTTCTTCCTGTGCTGTGGAAATAAGGGTTCTGTGAGCACTAGACTGCGACTGAACCTGACAAGATGTGTTCTCATGAGAGGACCACAGAATTAGTAGATCTGTGCTGGCCTGGACTTTCGCAATTTTGTTAGATGGAGTAGTTAGTGGAATACCCTTCACTGCTTAGCTAGGTGTCTTTTTTTTTCTCAGTGAAGAAGCTCTTTGGTAGAATTTCATACATGAGATTTCTTTATTGATGTCTATTTCTGTTGTCTGAATTCTGAAGTTGGAGTATTTTTCTTTTTTATTGAGTCGAAAATGTGTGTGTATGTGGGTTTTTTGTGTGCTTTGTGTTGTTTTTTGAGGCAGAGTCACTATATATAGATCAGCTGGCCTGAAACTTTGTTTATTTTTGAGTTTTTGGTTTTTTTAATATGTAAAACAAGTGTGGGCAAATCATGTAAGTGTTCTGGATCTCAGATCCTGAAATGGGGATAAGAAAGGCTGCTTTTCCATTTTCCCTACAATGAAGCTAACAGATGCTGTCTGTAGGAGACCAAGCTACAGAAGAAGAGGAAGATGATCATTCCCTTGGCGCCACAGAATCACACAGCAAAGACATGAGCCCAGATGAAAGTGAACTTGATTCAGAGGCCAAACTCATGAGAAGTATGGGATTGCCAATTCAGTTTGGAAGAGTGTCTGCCCATAAGAGTTTTGAGGTATTAATCTATTTTTACTATTTCTATGTCTTGCTTTTCAAAAAAAAAAAAAACAGTGTAACATATTCTGTTTTTATTTACAATCAAATTCATTCATTGTTAGAACATTTTACTCATATATATTATAACTAAATGGCAAGTTGGGATAGATCCCATGTGTAACTTGAATTCTTCATAAGAATCGCTTGTGTATTAAAGACCCACCTGGGAGTTTGGGTGCGGTTTTGGTTATATTACTCTTCGAATAGACTCAGGCTTGTTATCTTTGCTCTGATGTAAGTGTCTGTGAATACTAGAAATAGTTATAGTGGACTCAGGCATGTTATCCTTGCTCTGATGTAGGTGTCTATGAATACTAAAAATAAATTTAAAGTGAAGCAGAAAAGGAGAAAGCACCAGAAGAAGTACTTGGATGAAATGATCCAAGAGTCGTGGAGAGATGACTGTGAAGACGATGATGCTGTAGTGTCAGATGACCCACCATCAGTTGAGCACTGTGACAGCAGCAGAACATGTGAACTCCAGAGCAAAACAGATACCGAGACAGAAAACCTTGCCGTTGAAACTACACCGTCACCAAAGCTAGAGGTCACAGAGAACTGGGAAAGGTATTGGAATGTATATGGAGAAGGGCTGTTGTGGCAAAGCTGGCAGGAAAAGCATCCAGATCAGACACAATCTTCTGAACCTTGGAACCTCCCCGATACAAAGGAAGAATGGGAGCAACATTATAGTCAGCTTTATTGGTATTATCTGGAACAGTTTCGGTATTGGGAAGCTCAGGGTTGGACTTTTGCAGCCTCACAAGACAGTGGTCTAGATGCTGATGCTCAAACAGAAGCTGACAGAAGAGACGAGAGCGGCATGAAAGTGGATTTACTGACTCATTCGTCTTCACCTAACACCGCTGATGATGAAAGCTCTGGCTCAAACGATAAAGATCATGATGACATACTTGCTGGAATTAACAATATAATTCTGAGTTCTGAGGAAGTAGAACAGAGCCAGTTAGAGTCCTCCATACACTGTGACAAGCAGCAGCTGAGTGAGAGTAGCAGCGGCAAAGAGTGTCCTGCCTCTGGAGGACATGACCCCAGTAATGGAACACCCAAGGAAAGTAATGCATCTGGGGACAGAAGCACAGACCAACCAGCTCAAGGTAGGCTGGCTGTCCAGACTTTCTCTTTCAGGTAATGGTTATCAAGCAGTCTACTAAGTCTCATGCAATAGCCAGCTTTATTTAGAGTATTAGACAGTTTATACTCTGAGGAATAAAAGAGAGTCACTTGAGCAAAGTGTATCACAAGGACAAGGTGCAGGTAGCAAAAAACGTGGTTTTCCATAGGCGCATAAAAAGATAATAATAGCCAGTTGTAATGAATAATCTGAAATAAACTCCTATCTGCTACATCTGGGAGGAGCATGGAAATACGTTCCAAGACTCTTGGAAGATGTTCCAATATCTCCCTACTGTTGACCTTAAGAAATGTGCCTGCCAGGTCAGTGGGAGGGCCCAGCAGGTAAAGGCACTTGCCTAGCAACCTGAGTGTGAGCTCCAGAATCCACATAGTTGGAGGACCTACTCCTACAGGTTGTCCTGTGACCTCAACACTCAGGTCATGCATACTTCCTCCCCATCCCACCCATTCAGATTAATTGATTTTTTAGGAAAATGAATATACCTGCCAGCAGTTACCAGAAAGGTAAGGTTGTAGCCTGTAGAGTGCTTTGTATAGATCTGAACAAAGTAGTTTTAGTTTGCTTTTTAAAGCACAGCTGTGCTTCATTTAGGTAGGGAGATGAAGTTCTGGGTGCTTTCTTACCAGGTGATCTCATGCTCTGTATACAGCAGAGGACGCTAAAATGAGTTGAGTTGTGATGAGATCACGTGAAACCACCATTGACTGTTCAAATACACAGTGCCTTATAGACTGAAAATACCTGACTATGTAGTTAGATCATGAAGCCTTTAATCTTACCAGGCATAGCTATAATTACTCCTTTGGAGATAATAGAAAAATTGCCAGGCCTCAAGGAAGATACACTATAATCTCTCTCCTTAGAGTTGAAGGAGTCTTCAGGACCAGACACAGGCAAAGATCCAGCATACCCTAACAGGGCTGATGGTAATGAGAGTGATGATGATCCACCTGAGCAGAAGCCCAGCAGAGTGAAGAGAGGGTAAGTTACCCATGACCTAGCCTGCAACTCTGTACTGTAAACAAAAGGGGGATCTATGGGTCAGGCTTTTAGACACAGTCGTATCCTAATTCTGCCCATCATAACTCTAAATTTATTAGTTCCTCATCTATAAAATGAGACTGCTAGGTTGCCTGGAGCTCTCCACAGTGTGTGACAGTAATTATTGAAGTTCATACTGTAAAGTCCAGTATGTACAAGTGCAGGCACTGTAGATAGAAGAAATGGATAGATCACTACAGAATTGGAGCATTAGTTGGAGATATTGCATTTCTTTGTCGTGTTCCACATAAGACTTTCCTTCCAGATAGCATCTAGAACAGTGATGTGCAAACTCTGAAGTCTGAGTAACTTCGTTCAGAAAGCATGCCACTGCTACTGCTGCCTTACCTCACCTAGTAAACTTCGCTTATTAATTGTCCGCTATTTGGTACCAGTTCCTAGGGGAACTTTGTGCTTATATTTAGTAGGTACTCAATAAAGTAATGAGTTTGGCTCACTTGGAAAACAAACAGTCATTTCTTGCTGTGTTCTGCTTGATGCTATCTATGAGTCATGTAATCAGGGTTTCTAATAAAGGCACCTGTTTAAGGCACTTGTTGATTCTGTGATGAAAAAAGCTTGGCAAAAAGGCTTGTTTGGACTAGGGGTTTGAGTACAGCCCCATCATAGCAGGGGAGGCATATCGATGGAAGCAACTCGGTGGGGTTTTGACTGTAGACACCTGAGCTGTTTGCATTGCATTGATAAGCAGAGAGAGATAAGAACTAGTTCTTTTTTTTTCTTTTTCTTTTTTTCTCCTGTCTGAGATCCCATTTGGAGTGGTTCTTCCCTCCCTGTCAGAACTCTAGGAAACCCCTCATAGACATAGACAGAGGTATGTTTTCTAAATGTTCCAAGTTAATAAAGTCGAAAGTAAAGATTTACCATCACAGGCCCAAGTGGTAGAGTCTCCTAAGTGCAGCCACTTAGCGCCTGCACCACAGCCTTACTTAAAAATTGCTTTCTAGGGGGCTGGAGAGATGGCTCAGCGGTTAAGAGCATTGCCTGCTCTTCCAAAGGTCCTGAGTTCAATTCCCAGCAACCACATGGTGGCTCACAACCATCTGTAATGAGGTCTGGTGCCCTCTTCTGGACAACAGGCATACATGCAGACAGAATATTGTATACATAATAAATAAATGTTAAAAAAAAAAAACTTTAAAAAAAAATTGCTTTCTAGTTCCATTTATGTGTATATTCAGAAGGTGGTGCGTGAGGTACCCAAGGAGGCCAGAAGAGGGCATCAAATTCCTTGGCGTTAGAGTCCCAGGTGGTTGTGATTTTCTCAGTGTGGGTGCTGGAAACAACATTGGTCTTCTGAGAGCTGTAAGTGCTCTTAACCTCTGAGCCCCCATCGTATTCCTAGTAACATTTCTTCTATTTAAAAAAAATTGGCCCAATTGATACTTCACAACTTTTTTTTTTAATTTTCGCTACAGAAAATTAATGTCAGGCTTCAGCTTTTGCTGGGGTTTTTCCAAAGGCAACCCAAGAAATACATATTTATACCATCTTCAGGATTAGAGGTAGAATACTTAAAGACTTTAGGACCGGGGACTGGAGAGGTGTTCTGTAGTTAAGAGCACTTGCTGCTTTTCCGAAGGACCTGAGTTAGGTCCCAAGCACCCTAAGTATCAGACAGCTCACAACAGCTTCAGAGCACCTGAGCCTACTCTCTGCCTCCATAGGCACCTGTATTCACATGCACACACACCTACATAGATAGATACACATGCATGCGATTGTAAATAAAATCTCTAAGTTGAAAGGGTATGATGCTTGTTAGTATGCTTCAAACACTGCCGAGTACATTGAGTACCTTCTCCAGACCTCCAGGTTTGTGTGATACTGTTCACTCTGAAAGGGGTGGCTTATCACTATTTTTGTTTTTATTTTTGCTTTTTTAGCCATGAATTGGACATTGATGAAAACCCAGATACAGAAGTTGATGACAATGGTTTCCTTCTAGGATTCAAGCATGGCTCAGGACAAAAGTAAGAGCTGTCTCTAGAAATCCTAATAACTTCTCTTTGATATTCATGTCAAGTGTGTGTGTGTGTGAACTGTATTGATAACATTGCAAATAATACAATACAACACCAACTTCTGTTAGAAGATTAACAGTAAAAATCGTATTATATATTTGATGTATTCTCTGTTTCACAGATAAGCAGCTGGAGGTCACAGACATTTTGTCCAATCTAGATCACATTTCACAAAGGGCTTAAGCTCAGATGTTAGAATTTCTAATTAAGGTTCCCACCTGGCATCTTGTTGCACTACCCCTCTGTGCTTCTAAAGACTAGGAAGCATACCATGTAGCCAATAGATGAAAATTCCGATGTTTCATAACTGGGTACATAGGTTACTTAAAGTAGGATGCCTAATGCATAGTTCACAGCTTGCTTTGCACAGCTGATGCTGTTTTCCCTTTCTTTCTGACACACACAGCATTTATACCTCATCCTTTTAGTGAATGTATCGTATTCAATTCTCCATCCACAGTAGTACCATCCAGGTTATTCCCTAAGATCAAAGCATGATGTCTATTACCCATGCATCCCATTGTTCTCTCCTTGATGGCAAGGTCAGTACATTGTGTGGCCATACCAAAATTTGTTCAGTCATTTGCCTTTTAAAGGGCATTTGGGTTGTTGCTTATCTTATGCTATTACACATAAACAAAATGTGTAATAGCTGTGAAAATTTGTGTCTAGAAACCTAAGTTTTCTCTAGGTTTCAGTGCCCAGATGTTAAAGCGAAATAACTGATTTTATCTCATGACAGCAAGACTTAGCTGAGTGGGTAAGACAGCCTCAGTATGTACTGTGGAAGTCAGCTTTTCCTGTTCTTTTGATTACATGTTTCTAAGGGTTCAGACTTAGAGTCACATATGTGTTAGGAAATAACCTGTGTATCATGAATTCTGCAGGGAAAGAAAATGAGAATGGCTTCGTGATCAGTGTATAAATTGACTCCAGATTAGTTCAAATATACATACTTAAAACTAAAATCAGTAAATCACTTCTAAAGTTACCTCTTAGGTACAAAAGACAGTAGTAGCTTGTATAGTCACATTAGGCTAAAGAGGGTGCAGTTTTACAATGCATATAAAATTAGTTTAAACTTCTGTTTAGCTCTTGGTAGTATACACTTACAGAGGTAAATTTTATTGCCTGGGAGTTAACTTTTGTCTCTTCTATTTAGAAATAGAATTCTATTTAAAAGAGAAAGATTATTTTGTGATGACTTGAGGAAATTTTGTGGGACTTGATACATCAATGAAAACTGCGGCCAACAGATAAAATCTCAACAATGGAATCAGATCTTCTCTAGACTAAGCTGTTCTTTGTTGTATGGAGGCCCCTTGTACCTGGCTGCTCAGCCCCAAAATAACCACACAGAAATTATATTAATTAAATCACTGCTAGACCCATTAGCTCTAGCTTCTTATTGGCTAACTCATACATCTTAATTTAACCTATTTCTATTAATCTGTGTATCACCACGTGACTGGCTTACAGGGTAAAGTTTCAGCGTCTGCCTCCAGTGGGGCTACATGGCTTCTCTCTTGACTCTACCCTTCTTTCTCCCAGCATTTAATTTAGTTTTCCCCACCTAGTTCTGTTCTGCCCTGCTATAGGGACAAAGCAGTTTTTTTTATTAACCAGTGCTATTCACAACATAGAGAGGGGAATCTTTACATTAATTGGAACATCTCCAAATATGTTTTGAAGCCTGTAGCACAATTAATAAAAACACAGAGACAGATATTGGGGTTCATCCTGAAGGTCAGAAAAGCAAAACAGCCAGCCTTTTGCTCTTACCTCTATTTCAGCCCGAAATGGCAATCCTGCCTCCAGGTACTTCAGAATGAGACTGTGTCTGAGAGCTGTTTCCCCCACATCCCCTTATATTCCTCTGTAGGACTGGGATTAAGGTGTGCACCACTACTGCCCAGTTTCAGTGGCAAACTAGTGTGGCTACTGGGATTAGAGGTGTGTGTCACCACTGTCTGGTCTGCAAGACTGACTGGTGGGGCTGTTTTACTCTCTGATCTTCAGGCAATCTTTATTAAAATACAAATGAAATGCCACTGCAAAAGCCTTTGTCATCACTATAAGGAAAGTTTCCCTAACAAGGAAATGCATTTTTGTTTTATTTTTGCAGTCGGCTAGAGTTTCTACTTTATAATCTACAGTAGAAATGTATTTTAGTTATGGTGGTGTACACTTATAATCCCAGCTTTCAAGAATTTCAGGCAAGAGAATCAAGAATTTAAGACAAACCTGGGCTACATCATATAACCCTATCTCAAACAGAAAAAAAATCGGCTTGCTAGTCTAATCATTAGTGTAAGAAATTGTAAGTAATATGTGATCTCATTTTCAAAATTTATGAAGATTAAAATGGTGCTTAAAACAAGCAAATACTAATGAAAATCATTAATTTTGGTTAATTTGATTTTGGGGGTTTTGTTGTGTGCTTTTCTATATGGGAAAGTTTTTCTAGAATTTAACATGTGAGTCACTTCTTTTGGTCTGATCCAGATATGGTGGAATCCAAAATTTCAGTCATCGGCAGGTCAGATATCTAGAGAAGAACTTGAAATACAAGTCAAAGTACCTGGATATGCGCAAGCAGATGACTGTGAAGAACAAACACATCCGGTTCACAGAAGAGTTGGGGAAACCCCTTCTCAAGAAGAGTAAAGTGCGAAATAAGGTGTGCACACGCTTGCCCTGGCTGACACAATCACAGTTTGTAACTTGGCTCCTCCTTCAAAATCGAGGGGTACCTCTATTGTTGTTCTCTGGCTTTATGAAGGTATATATTACATAGACTGGATTGGGAGCGGGGAGGAAATCGAGGTAATATGAAGAAAGGTGTTTGAAACTGCGACATTAGAGCACCTAGGAAGGTAAGCCAGCTGGATTGTTTTGCCCGTGTAGTACAGGCAAGGACAAGGGGAAGTTTTTTGACCTGTATCACACAAAGTGGAATCTGAACTCATCCAAGATTGGTCACACTTAGAAGTCAGGCTTGACCCAAGAGTGTTGCATACAAGCCCACATATTTGATTCTCACTGTAACTGCAAAGTTCAAGATCCCTCCTGGTCTTTGCTATCAAGAAATAGAAAACAAGTTAGAGAATCATGTGACTGATGAGTTCTTCCCTGGGGAGGGGCCATTGATGATGAGCAGAGACTTCATGTCTTAGATGTTGTCACCCTTTAAGGGCAGGGAGCACAATCTCAGGCTTCTGAAGGTCTTTGTAGTAGTCTCAGGGTGTATTATACTTTCTGACTTCAGCATTCTGACAAAGCATTCTACAAGTTGATAAATAGTTCCATCATCATCATTATTATTATATTTCAGATTGATCAGTGCTGGTGATACTTTAGTGAATATTTTAATGGCCCTTTCTTACATCTGCAAGAGCGGCATGTGCTCTTAGCTACTGAGCATCTCATCCTCACCCATCTCTCCTGCCTCTGATTTTAAGACAAGTTGGCACTATTCTGTTGATATTATGTAACATGGGACATGGTTTGCAGCTGGGCCATTGCAGAAAGCTCTTAAAAATGTAAAAACCAGTGAATAACTGAGTAGGTATATTTGTGATGATAATTTCCTAGCATGGCTCTATTTTTAAGAGTTCTTAATCTTTTAAAGGAATTCTTTGTAAGGTCATTAGGTGTTCTCCTGAATTCCAAATAGCCTGAAGTACTTGTAACTTGTTTGATACGTTGTACTTCTCTGAGCTAATAGTTAGGACTGCTTGTTAATCAGATCACACGTGGCTAAAAGGGAAAGATTCTCTTCCTTACACCTAGTTGGTATTTGTTATGGGATCTTCACATTGCAGGTGGAGAAATTCCTAAAATGGGTTCATGAACCAGTGGATGAGGAGCCATCCCAGGAGTCGCTTCCTCATAACAAGATACAAGACACTTGCACAAGCAGTGACTCTGAGGAGCAAGACATGCCCTTGGAGAAAGCCGACGACCTGATGGAGGCCAGAGATCCAGAACCTGACACATGTCAGGCCATCTCTTCAGCCAGCGAACCTGAAGCAGAAAAGAGTGAAGGAGCTTCCACAACTGCTCCAGAGAAGCAGGACTGTGTACCTGAAGAAATGGCTGACTCTCCCCAAGCGGAAACAGGAGGTAAGAATCAGTACCCTTTCCTTGCAGCTCTGCCCGATTAAGGCCCTTTTTTTTTTTATTATTTTTTTTTGATTTTTTTTTTTTTTTTTGATTTTCGAGACAGGGTTTCTCTGTAGCTTTTGGTTCCTGTCCTGGAACTAGCTCAGGCTGACCTCGAACTCACAGAGATCCTCCTGCCTCTGCCTCCCGAGTGCTGGGATTAAAGGCGTGCACCACCACCGCCCGGCTAGTTAAGGCCTTTTTTATGTTTCATTTGTTCTCTTTCATAGCATCTATGCCTCCAGATTTGTTTTAAACACTTTTAAGTGGAGAGGAGGCCTGTTAGTGTGAATGAGCTAATTGGCTATGGTTTGGCACTGTGAGTGTTTTTCACTTTGAGCTTCGCTGCCACTCTGTCCCTGGTTGGCAGTGGCATTTTCCTCCTGAAATTAGGGAGGCACGCATTTTCTTCTTAACAGTTATTTTTTTGTAATGATTTGGGACTTTTTGATGGAACATTAACGAAACATTTATACTAGTTGGCGCTAATATGAAAACTAACATTTTCATGAAGACCTTTTATAAAGAAAGTATTTGATGAAACATGGCAGGTAAACATTTTTACTTAGTCTGGTGTTCACATCTGTCCTTCTGAAACAACTATCTTTATTATGACTCTTCTTTACTGTTTATTAGAGTACTTAGTGTCTTAGTGATGGTTACTGTTCCCTTGTTGGAACAACAAAGCGGAAACAAGTAGGGGAGGGAAGGGTTGATTTAGGCTACTTGTCCTGAGTCACAGTGCTTTGAGAGAAGCCAAGGCAGGAAGGAGCTCAAACAGGGCAGGAATTGATAGATTGCTGCTTACTGCCTTACTCAGCCTGCTTTCTTATAGCATTCAGAACCGTCAACCCAGGGCTGGCAGCACCCACGATGGGCTGGGTCCTAACACATCAATCAGTAATTAAGAAAATTACCTACAGCTTGCCCACAGCCCCATCTTCTGCAGGCAGTTTCTCAGTTGAGGTCCCCCCTCTGAGATGACTCCAGCTTGTGTCAAGCTGACATAAAACTACCAGCGTGCCTAGTTGATTCCTTGCTTTTGTGTGGGTAAACAGAGCCCTAAATCTCATGTCACCTGTCTCCTACCTTCTTAATTGTAGGCTTCAGGCATTATGGCTTTTCCTTACCAGTGTGGTGACAGCTGACGTGCATGTGCTACTTGGAGAGGCTTTGTTCTTGACCTCTCAAGTAGCCTGCTGAGGGGGGTGTCCTAACACTTCAGCTGTTTGCAGCTGTTTGCATGGACGGTTCCTTAAGATCCTTGACACTCTAGGCAGTAGCTTTAGTCTTTGTCTGCTACGATCTGTGGCGGTGCTTTCCGTCTGTAGGCATTGCTGCTTCTGATCTTCTGAAGACTGGAACCTAATCATCAACTACTCATTGTTTTAAATAATTATCAGCTGGAACCTGACCATACTTCTGAGGCATCTTGTATTCTCTAGAATTTATATAGCTAGAACTCAGTGGGCCTTGAAAAAATTTTTGTCCTAAAGAAAAAGAGCTAAACACACACACATCTACAACCTCTGCTTCTCAGCAGTCTAAAGCAGGAGGACCAAAAGTTCAGCATTAGCCTGGTCAAATTAAATTACCCAGACCTGGACTCAAAATAGAAATTAAAAAGAAAGATTTTTAAGCATGTAGCTCTGTCAGTGTGTTTGCCTACCACAAGGTTCTGAGTTCAATTCCCTAGGACAGCAGCAACAAAAGAAGTAAAAAAAAAAAAAGAGGGGGCTATATTTTCTGTAAGTCACCAGCTAAATCATTGTTGTGCTACAGATAATGTTTAGACCTGTGCTAGTGCTTTCGTATGTGGATTGCGTGTCCTGTATATGACATGGCGAGGACCAGATGTATTTCCAGGTTCTGGTTTTGGGGGATTTTGGATGTTCAGCCTTTATCTTCCATCTTTGCTATAAGTGAAGTTAGCACGATACTATGCATTCATCCATCCATTCCTATTGGAGGAGTAAGATATTAGAGCATAGAAGCCAAGTTCTCAAGCCAGTCGATGACAGCCGGCGAGGACCTGAAGTGCTGGTGTTTTGTCTTGCTCTTATGCTTCTCTGAGAGTGTCACTGTATATATGTCTGTGACAGGCCAAAATTGTGATAGTTTGATGTGACTGCTTCTTGTGAACTCTGTGAACTGCTTTGTTCTGTTCTCGTGGTCTGATATGTATTGTCTGCATCTTATTTTAGTTGAAATGAAGAAGAAGAAGAAAAATAAGAAGAAAAACAAGAGCAAAAAATTAAATGGTCTGCCACCCGAAATAGCCTCTGTTCCTGAGCTGGCAAAATACTGGGCCCAGAGGTACAGGCTCTTTTCTCGTTTTGATGATGGGATCAAGTTGGACAAAGGTAAATAAAATATGTGTGTGTTGTTTAGCTTTATTTAGAAGCCACTTAAAAATTACAGAAAAGTTGCAAAACAAAATTGCAACATCCTTTTTACCTGGATTCAGCTATTTCCAACATTTACAATGAGTCTGCTGTCGTTTTCTGATCAGTTGCGTGTATCATGGTACCTCCCATTACTAACTTAGTGTGCATTTGCTAAGAACAGGATGTTCTTCTCTAATAATCAAAGTCTTGGGATCAGTCAACAGTACCACAAGAAAACAAAACAAAGACGGTTATCTCTATAACCCATATACTATCGTGTCTCCTTAGCTTCCTTTGATTTGTAATGGTTCCTCAGCCTCCCATGCCCAGGGCTTCACCTCTGCCAGGCAAGTACTCCACCTCTGCGGCACTCACTCCTCCAGCACATTTTGACGTCTTTCAAAGAATGACGGTCGGTTGTTCTGTGCAGTATCACTCGATTACATCCATACAGCTATCTTTGTTTTAACTTCAGGTTTAACCTGTATTTGTAGCATCTTATGCAAAGTAGCAAAAGTATATAGGTGATTAAAAAACATCTGATGAAGATACACCTAATGCAGAAAGTTATAATTGAATGAATTAGCACTGAAAACTTGAATTCTTCATTGAATTTTCTTTCTGATCTTAACAGTCTCACAGACTGACACTCATTTTCATATTGAGACTGTCTCTGTTAAGTATCCAAATCAAGAGGTCTGCTGTGGAGTGTAGATGATTCTGTGCCCCTTATACTGTTTGTAAATAGTGTGTGGTACAGAAAAGTATGCAGGAATTTTATTAGGCAAAAAACGCTCGGAAAAAGATGGATACAATGTTAAAAGGAGTTTAGAATTCTTAAAGTACTGAAGAGCCATTTAAAGTTTTATGTAGTGGGAACAAGAAACTTTCAATCTCTATCTCAAAAAGAAGGGTCTTTTGGTAGAAAGGGAGGCAGGTATTTTCTTTCCTCCAGGTGAGTGTAGATTCATTCTGAAGGTTTCTACTATTTCCTGCTGTGCTAAAGCAGCCTCCTGGTCATTGGCTACCATTCTTTGTTTTTTCTGACACTAAAGAGCATGTAAAGGCTGGAGAGATGATGGCTCAGAGGTTAAGAACACTGCTCTTCCAGAGGTCCTGAGTTCAATTCCCAGCAACCACATGGTGGCTCACAGCCATCTGTAATGAGATCTGGTGCCCTCTTCTGGCCTGCAGGCAGACATGGAAACTAACACTGTATACATAATAGATAGATTGATAGATAGATAGATAGATAGATAGATAGATGCTTTTTTAAAAAAGAGCATATAAATTTGTCGTGCATGCTATACACAGACATACATGAAGGCAAAGCATTCATAGAATCATTTTAAAAATTTGAAAACATGTAAATGTTCTCAAAATGTCAATATAAATCTCCATTGTGAATAAAATAACTGAGAAACTTACCAGTTAGAACTTGCTGTTCTCCATAGCTGATGAGTAGTAGGTGTGCCTCAAATAGACTGCTAGAGGAATGTGGATATCTTACCAATGAGTCGGGAATTAGCAATTTTTTAGAACCTTTCTCTTATGCTATGTAATTAGTAGTTTTTGCAAGGAGAAACTAAGTTTTGTTTTGTTTTGTTTTGTTTTTTTATGAGTACTTGTGGGTGCGCACCTTCACTTGTGTGCAGACAGAAGAGAGTTCAGATTTGGTAGAGCTGAGGCTAAAGGTGATTGTGACCGACCCAACGTGGATGTAAAACCAACAGGTCCCTTTACAAGAGCCGTACAAGATTTAACCAAGCTCATAAGCAATTTCTCCAGATCCAAAAAGGTGCTTTAACATGAGCAATGTTTTCTTTTCCACGCTTGAAGTCTTGGAAATGAATGTTTTTCTAAACGTGTTCTCCCTTTGCAGAGGGCTGGTTTTCAGTTACCCCTGAGAAGATTGCTGAGCACATTGCTGGCCGTGTCAGTCAGTCCTTCAAATGTGACATTGTAGTGGATGCTTTCTGTGGGGTTGGAGGAAATACCATTCAGTTCGCCTTAACGGGGAAGAGAGGTAATCTGGTCATTCGTGGCAGAGAATTGTTTTTATTTCCAACTTATACTTAGAATATGTTTACTTTTTTCATTTCTTTGCTGAGATTTAACATATAATTGATAATTTCATGCTGAATATTTAAAGCAATAGTTAATCGTTTATTGTTCATCTTGCATAATATGTTTAATAAGCGCTTAATTTGTGAATATTTAGTCAGCAGTCATAAATTATGTCTTATAGTCAGTCTCTCATTTCACAGATTGATTAAAATGTAAAAAGATAAATAATTGCACAGGATTTTGCAAACACCTGCTAATCTCTGGAGCCAAGATTCTAGCACTCTGTAAAAACAAAAATATGTTGTGGTTCTTTAGAATCAAAGAACAATGTAGGGGGACCAAGCTTCAGCTCTGACTTGGGAGCTTTATGACTTGACATTGTTTGGCTTTGAAGGTCATGTTAAATTCACATAGTCTTGTGATGCTTTGCAACTTTAAAATCCCAAAGCTCCAAAAATTCTTTAAATAGTATGCCATCCTCATGGTTATTTGACCATGGAACCAGGAGAAAAAAATCTCCACCATATTATCTGCCAATTACTATCAGATGTGTGATGTTCTTTTTCTCAGGAAACAAAGGCTTTGTTTAAAAATGGACTGTTTGGTAGTGAGGTTCCTTGGTGGGCAAGGACTTTTGCCTCCGTGCACATAAATAAATTAACACTTATAAAAATTAATGTAATGTTCTCACGCAACATGGTGATGCATATTAGCACTTGGGACACAGAAAGGTGGGTTGCAAGTTTGAGACTGGAATGAGCTACAGGAGACCATGCTTCTCTCCTCTTCTCCCCACCACCCTCCCCCTTCCCTTTTTTTTTTTTGATGGACTGAAGACGTAGCCCTTGCCTGCAGTGCACTGGGTTTGTGGCTCCTATTATAGTGTAGCGCTTTGGAGATAAAAGAGCCAAATCATATTCTAAGATACTTTTCACACATCATATTATACCCACTAGTACTTGTGGCTTTCATTTTAGTGGATTTTGGCAGAACCTCATTAATTGGTTTGAACTTTTTAATGTTAATTAGGAAAGCAAAATAGTAATCTGGGAGCAGAATATAGAAGTCAGAAAATGACAAGGTGTATTTGCCCATTGGTTTTAAGATAAGAGTGATGTGCTGTGACTTGATTTTGTTACTCTAGTGCTCTTGGCATGCATGACATCTGCCAGCTTCACATGGTTGGTCTTCCAGTAACCCAGATAAAAGCAGTTCTCACATTTACCAGATAATAATAACTCTGTCTTCCACTAAGTCGGTATTTCAAAATTCTCAGATTATTTTTAGATAAACCACATGTATGTTTCATGGAAGATATTTTTCCTCCAGAGTTATCAAACTCATTCCTTTATAGCATTTTGTCATAAGATGGTTAATATATCTGCACCATAATAAATAAAGTCTGGAAATTTTCTTTAAATATCATGGGAGGCATGCATATCATACATTAATTTCTTAATGGAGGTTTGTGGCCAAGTTGTGTACCTTACCGTGCTTTTGATAGAGGATGATGTCAGTGTGGGTCCTAAAGGAAGGCTAGTGCTGCGCTCTCATTGTCTACGCCCTTTGTGGCAGCAGTTCTCAGGGATACCACATCAGATATTCACTTTATAATTTATAACAGTAGCAAAATTCCAGTTATGAAATAGCAATGAAATAACTTTATGTGGGGGTCACCACAGCATGAGGAAGTGTGTGAAAGGGTTGCAGCGTTAGGAAGTCGAGAACCACTGCTCTACAACCTCTTGGTGTCATTTTATCACTCACCCTCACAAGTGACCAGCCCCTGAGAAGAAAGGAAAACAAATGGTCACTACTGGGTCTTCCTGATGCTCTGATGACCTAGACTCTGCCCTGTGGAGCTGGAAATGTGGAACCATCTTAAGGACATTGGTCTTTTCTGAATGTCAGCATTGGGCTTTGCATGCAAGTAGTAACATTTGTAAGAATTTACTGTTCCAACTGTGTATATATAGCTCTCACCCCCTAAGACCTCCATGTTTTGTGGCAGCTGCTGCCACTTGCTTTGGATGATGGCTAGGCAAGACAGCATGAAAACCTGTTCTGTAGATCATGGTTAATTCTTGTTTTGGGTATTTTATTCAGAAAACCAGATTTCTAGAATGATGAACTCTCAGTGTCAACTGACTTTTTTTTTTCTCGATTTTTAGTGATTGCCATTGATATTGACCCAGTTAAGATTGATCTTGCTCGTAATAATGCTGAAGTTTATGGAATAGCGAATAACATAGAGTTTATCTGTGGAGATTTCCTACTCTTGGCTCCCTGTTTAAAGGCTGATGTTGTGTTTCTAAGCCCGCCTTGGGGGGGACCAGATTATGCTACTGCAGAGACCTTCGACATTAGGACGATGATGTTTCCTGATGGATATCCTTTGGAAGTCCTAACAGTCTATATAAATGCTTATAGAGAGGAAAAGTGTGTGTGCGTGTGTGTGTGTGTGTGTGCGTGCGTGTGTGTGCGTGTGTGTGTGTGCATGTAGAGGAAATGTATTAGCTAATCCACATTTGATAATTCCATTGTATTTTACACAGAAAACAGTTTGTGTGGAGCCAACCAGATGGCTCAACTGGTAAAAGCGCTTGCTACACAAACCTGGCAACCTGAGTGTGAGACCCAGAACCCAGGGAAAGGCAAGAGAAAGAAGAGAATTGTCCTCTGGTACACCGAGGAAGTTCTGTCTGTACACACACTTTAATAATAATAACTAAAACTTTTAAGACATGCAATGTAAAAACTATGTGTTGGTTGATCTATAGATACGGTTCCCCTGTTAGTGTTTAATTCCACCGTTATGAAACAGGAGCCCAGCTGTAGCTCCTGAGAAATGGACACAACAGTGGTGTTTGCTAGGGTTTTGTGAAGAAGGATTGAGGATGTGACTGACTGATACAGAAGCTGCATAGCTGAACTGCCCAAGGTCTGGGTCTGCCTCTACGGAACCTGCCTTGAGACTAAAGAGATGTGTTCACTGTGTGGAATTGGAATTGGTACAGATTGAAGATTTCTTAAAACCGCAGGTCTGTGGGCTGTGATCTTCAGCTCACACTGCCTTATGCTAAAGCAGCCAGATATTCTAACCCATCTGTGCTATCTTGTCTCTAATTCTCTGGGTTTAATCTGTGCCTTGTTGGCACTTACCAAGATGCACTGATCTGTGACACATGATGAACATCTCTCTGCTCAGAAATTGCCTTTTTATCCTTAACTCTTTTTCACCTTTGAAATTTTTAGGCTTTCCCAGAAGATCACTAATAATATTGTGTATTTTCTTCCAAGAAATGCTGACGTTGACCAGGTAAGCCATTGCTGAGGAAATTCTTTGCACCTCTACTTACTTACTGTTAGAAACAATGGGCAGAAAAGGATAAGAGTTGTTTCCTTACCAGAGAACCTGCTTGTGAGAAGTCCCTGGCTTGTCTTCCACCTCCGCGGTTTCTGAGCATGCCCGATATGCAGCCGATGTTTCCTGGGGTTCTATGCAGATGAGTGATAGGATAACATGTGATACCATGTTACAGGTGCTTTGTGGCAACACTCTGAGGCCCACCGTACTGAACCCAGCTGAAGAGATAAGACCTTACCAAGGTGTAGAGCAAGACAGGAAGGTAGCTGTGAGTTGGAAGACAGAGAAGGAAACAACTGCCTTTAATTTGGCCAGGAACAGTTCTAACTAGCCTTGCCATCTTGTTTGTTTGTTTGGGTTTTTGTTTTGTTTTTCAAGATAGGATTTTTCTCTGTAGCTCTGGCTGTCTTAGAACTAGCTCTGTAGGCCATGCTGGCTTTGAACACACGGAGATCCACCTCCTCACCATCTCTTGTCCTTTTGCTGGAGCAGCAGTTACTCTTGTTGGCCCCTGGTGTAGTTTAGTGATTTAGACTTTCCTTTTTCCATCTCAAGATCATTTCGGTCTGCCCCTTCAACTCCTATATGGGTTTCTTTGTCTTATCAGTAGTCTGGACTGAATAGATTTCTCCAACCACTGAAAAACCCTGATCCACTAAAAAAGATCCTCTGTTTTATTTTCTGGGATGAGGCCCAAGTATAAATTGCTCCTCACGTAATTATAATGTGCTCCACAGTTGAGGTTCTCTGGGCTATAAAAAAGGATAAATTAGCCGGGTGGTGGTGACTCACGCACTCAGGAAGCAGAGGCAGGCAGATCTCTGAGTTCAAGGCCAGCCTGGTCTACAGAGTGAGCTCCAAAGACACAGAGAAACCTTGTCTCGAAAAACCAAAATGCGGGGGGTGGGGGGGGAGTAAAACTTTGAGTCTTCTGTCATTTATTTACGGTCTACTTGACCAAACATTAAGCCTTCCATGATAGTATGTGTGATGTCACTCACATTTTTTAGGGTTGTGAGAGTCTTAGGTCAGCCTTCGTGTTGAACCTATTACCTGTTACTTGTGTAACTGCTTTCTAGACTTGGGCTGCCGTGATACTCCAAAACTATCTGCTAAACAGCTACATAATCTTCATAGGCTAAGCCATGGTCCTTGATAGTACATATAGACAAACTCATTTGGGTATCTCAGTAGCAATAGGAAAGCCGCTTTTTTTTCCCTCGGTTTTTTGAGACAGGGTTTTTCTGTGTAACAGCCTTAGCTATCCTTGGAGCTCGCTCTGTAGACCAGGCTGGCCTCGAACTCATAGATTCTCTTGCCTCTGCCTCCCAAGTGCTGGGATAAAAGGCTGGAAAGCCACTTTTTATCATGAAAGTTTCAGGATTAACTTTTTTTTAACACACACAAAAAAAATTTAGCTTGCTTTTTACTTTTGTTTTTATCCTCGGAACCTGTGAGAGTTAAATCTGTAAGGAGTAGGGAGACGGTTCATTTGGTAAAGAAAATAGATGAGGAGTAGCCTAGGAAAGGAAGGCACCTGGCACCGTCCTCTGCACGCCACGGTTCACCTGCACTCAATCTCACCTGTGGGCAAGTTCCTCTGTAGACACCATTTACAAACACAGTGGTAGACTTGGTAGTTCCTTCATGTTTTCTGCCTCTAGAGGGAGCACTGACACTAAAAATGATAAAGGAAACCGCTTGGTATGAAATAAGCTGCAGGGGAAGCATGCGGGGGGGGGGGGGGGTTGGTTTTTGGTTTTTTAACTAAAAATGTATCCAAATGTGATACTTTTAAAATGAAATAGTAATGCAGGTTGAAAGAGTATAAGGCATTGACTATGAGTCTGTTTGGAATTCTGGCTGCATTTTTCCTATAAATTTGTCTGTAGCAAACTTTTAATTTCCAGTTCAGAGAGGTTATGTTACATTCTATTCATTCTGCTAAATTGGTTGTACAGCCAGTCCTAGAAGCTGCTCCATGTAGGAAATGATGCCCATCAGTTTTTGTAGCCGGTGAAATATTCTTCTGGGTCCCTTGTCCTTGACCTCCCATTCATTCCCTTTTTCTTTTGGAGTTATTCTAGAACACGTATCCCTGCTATCCAAACTCTCACTGTAAAACCAGAACTCATTCATTAAAAACATCTTTTTGTGAGAGGCTCTTTGGAAATAAGGTATCTCTCTGAGATTACTTTGGAAACTCATCAAGACTTGGGTTTGATTCGGAGAAACCACGGTTGGAAATGTATCTTGCTGCTTAGTTCCTATCCTTATTGTTAGCCTTCATTTCTTTTCTTAACATTCTAGAAGTCCTGGCAGCACTAGCTTTGGATTCACTATGCTTTGCAAACATGGAAACTTCTTTTGAAGAGTAAGCCTATGTAGTAGAGATAGAAGCCTCTGAACACCTTAGTCATCTAATGGTAGCTGCATGCAGCAGTTTCAGGTACCACTTTTATATGAAATCCTTGTGCATGGACTCTCCTAACATGAAGAGTCTTGGTTCTTACCAGGCATGAGAACAACGAGAGCAAGCCTCCCAGCCCATTTTTGCTTTCAGAACTACACAAAACATGTAACCTGAGAATCTGTGGAGCATTTACACTTTTCAGTTCAAATTAAGCACCTGGGTCACGTTCATGCAAGTTCATATAACAAGGTGACCCTAGGCAGCATCCCTAGACTTGTGTTAAAGTAAACTTGGGGGCCAGAAAGATAGCTCAGCAAGTAAGGCTGTTCCTTAGGTGACTGGGGTTTGATTCCCAGCACTCACGTGCTCACAACTGGCTGTAACTCCAGTCCCAGAGCATCTGACACCCTGTTCTGGCCTCTGCAGGCCACATATGTGGTATACAGACATTCAGGCAAAATACCCATATACTTAAAAATAAGATAAGCCCATAGCTTTCTACCAGGCAATTCCTGACCCTTCTCTAACATAACTCAATCTTCCTTGACTTTTTTAGATTTATAAATTTATACTTTGAATATAACTAAATTGAGTAGATTAGCATTTTTTAGTGGTTTAGGTTAAATTAAATAAACTTTTACCAGTTTTTATCAAAGTATTAGTACTGAGTAATTATAATATTTGTTTTTTTTTAAGTGGAATATTACTAGTTTCTGAATGTTAGAATTAACGAAAGATCCTATCAATTATTCGTAATTAAATTAACAGAGAAATATATCTTAAATGCTATCCATGTGGTAAATACTGTAAAGTCATTCCAGCAGGTGGAAGACCCTTAACACCAGGCCCAGAAACCAGAAGCGTAAAAGAGGGCAAAAGATAGGATTAGCTGTTCCGGTATATGGAGGAATTGTAGACTTGAGACTGCTAAACTTGAAAATAACCAGTTTACAACGTGGCAGCTTGGCGGATGGCACCCTGTGTATTGTAAGTCTCTTCCTGCACATTTTTTGGATAATCCCTATGCTCTAGAGTATGCGTGTGAGGTTACCCCCTGATCTCTGGGGAAGCCTAGCTATTTTGCCACACAGTGGCCATCAGCAGCTTAGCACCTTGCTGCCTCCCATGAGCCAAACATTTACTGCTGAGAAAAACACTCATCCATGACCTGAGTAGTTGGGAGTAATAATTAGGAAGTGAAGTGCCAAGGCACACAAAGGAGATTATAAAAGGGTTTTCAGAATAGCTCAGCAGGTAAAGGCAGTTGCAGTTGAGTTTGCCCTGAACCCGCATGGTGGAAGAAGAAAAGAGACTTCCACAAGTGGTCCTCTGACCATGGCCCCTGCAGCCACACACAAGTAATAATTGATGTAGTTTCAATTTTTAAAAAATCTGCTAAGTCAGTTCCTGTTTGAAAAAGACAATAGAGGGCTAAGAAATAGAACCAAGTAGAGGGCAGTTGCTGGGCCTTCCCTGTCAGTTTGCTCTTGTGCTTCCTCTTGCGGACACCCGGGTGTCTAGATTAACTGTTGCTGTGCAGATAACCATGGCTACTTTGGTCATCTTTATTGACCCTTTTGTCTTTGGTGAATTTTCTGCTAGGCAATCGGAGCAGTGTAGTATGTCTCTGCGCTGTGATCTTTATGCAGAAAGACTAGAACTGAAGGGCCTCAAAATTCTTCACAGATTCGGGATTCCTGATGGTTTGGTCTGTTGTGCCTTGTGTAACTTGTTGAACTCAAGAGTAACCTTTGTGGATGTGTCCAGGATGAAATTGTGATCAATGCTAAGGGGCCAAGCTGTAGACCTGGTTATCAGTCACCTAGAAGCCAGCATAGATGAGGTCAGTTGATGATGGGGGCTCTTTAAAATTGCATTTATTTTAATCAGAGCTTGATAATATTACAAAGCTATCTGTAATGCAAAGATTCAAGTATCGAAATCTCATTCCTGCTTACTATGTGCAGAAAAATGGAGCTGATTTTAAGTTTGAATTTTGCCTAAAGATAAAGTGTTTCCTTCTTCAGCACTCCGCACTCGTGCTTCTGGTTAGATGTAGTTATTAGTTGTCTGTAACAAAGAGACAGTCGGGACTAGTGAGGAAGGCCTTGGTTTGGCCCAGCTGCCTGTGGATTCTGACCTAAAATGAAGGTTGCCTATCCTGGTCATCTCTATCTCTTTGGTAATGGTAGGCATCAAATACAGCCTTAAGCACAAGTTTTTTTTTGTTTTGTTTTGTTTTTTGTTTTGTTTTGTTTTGTTTTTGTAGTAATTCATTTGCAGTTTATTTTAAACCTATCTAAACATCGTTTGTCTTCAGTTGTCTTCATTTTGACTTTTTTTCTCTTCCTACTATTGCCTCAAATAATATGTTAGTAATAATCACCCAGTTCTTAGTTATAATTGTAGTCCAAATGAACTGGAATTGTCTTTGTGTGTTAGAGAGGCAGACAGACACATGTGCAGGTGCAGGTGCTATGCTGTCAGATCCTTTGGAACTGGAGTTATAGGTAGTTGTAAACCACTCAGCTTGTGTGAACTAATGTCCTCTGAGCCATCTCTCCTGCCCCTGGTGTTGCAAGGCATTCACCAGAGAACACTGTTTGGACATGGGTTTAAGCCAATAGACAGTCTTTATTAACCAACTAGCGACTACACTGGGTGCTTGTGGTCCCATTGTAGCCCAAGCCTTCCTCAGGGTGAGCTTTTAAGCACAAAAGCCATGCATGTCCTGTGTTGACATACTTCAATTAACAAGAACAGTTAGCTAGAAGCGGAACAACAGAAGCTAAAAAAACAAGGTTAGTACGTTTTGAAACTTTCGGAGAACTATGGACTTTGACGGATTAGGTATTTGTGTTAGTTTTAGCAGGCAGTGCTGTCTTTGCTGAGTTTATGGCCTGAATGGCATTTCCATTGTGGAGTCAGCTGTGCTAAGGCCTGGGGCCCATTTACACCTGGTATTGCCCTTGATAAGGCTAGCATTTAGGTAATGTGCTAGAAGCATAGAATGTGGTCTTGAGTTCATTTGCCACCTTCCATTCTCCTGCCTTTCCCGTCTTGCCTGTCTTTGCTGTACATTCATGCTCTCAATCCATTAAAATTTAAGAAATTTTTGTCAGTTAAACCTGCTAATGAAAAATAAGGACAGCTCAAAATTGACAGCATTAGTTTGTTTGAAGCAAAGTATCTATTCACTTGAGTATAAATTTTGTCTGACTCATTTAGCCTTTAATATATGTGTGGTGGAAAACCAAGAAAGTCTAAGGTTAGAAATCGGTTTTAGTGAGAATACTTGAAAGTGCATGTTGACTTAGATCTTCCTTGTCTATGCTGTGTAGATCAGTTTTCCCACTCTGGGCCTGCATGTTGATTCAGTGCTGGGAACATACCAGAGTGGCTGGATTGTTGAGCATCCCTGCAGGCAAGCTGCTGTTTAGCTCTCTTCTGCACAGAAACTGCCCCGCTCTTGATTAGTCGTTGTTGAGTGACGTGGGAAGTCCTGCTACTGCTCTCAGGAAACTCCCATATCTACTCTTTCTTGTACCAGTTCCCCCGTGGACGAACCCTAAAAGGCACGGGGAAGGGAAAGCACTACTTCATCTTAACATTGCTGTTTATGGCTTATATGAGAAACAGGAATTATTTTAGTGCCTTTAATTTGGGGAGGAGGTTTGAGGATGTTAATTGAACAACTTTTTATTTAATTTTGTAGCAGTGTGTTTGTTTAGGGTGGGGGATATGGTCACCTGTGCAGAAATCAGAGCACAACCTTTGCATGTCTGGCCCTGGACTACTAGAGACAGTCTACTCTCTGTCTCCTGTTCCCATAGACTGGAGATGCTCGTCAGGCCAGCTCTGGTGAAGTTCAGATCACCACATTGGACAGCAAATGCTTCCCCTGAAGAGCCATCTCATATCCAAGGTTGACCGGAGCTCACAGCATCCCTCCTCCCTCAGCCTGCTGAGGGTTGGGATTATAGTTATAGACCTGGCTTTTAAGAGCATTGCATACGGATTTGGACCTACAGTAGAGAGTTTGCTTAGCATGTGTAGAGCCCTGAATTCTGTCTGTAGGACCAGAGGTGGGTGTGGAAGGTGAAGCATATCATAGAATGATGTGTTTCGATATCTGTTTTTATATCAGAGTTGTTTCCTAACAGGGAGGTAAAATAATCACTTTAAATTATGCTCACCAGTAATGCAATCATTCTCCCTGTCCACCAGATATCTGTGGTGTGAGATCAGGTTCTGTCAGCTTTTGAATCCAGATTAAATTTAGAACCTTTATTTACAAAATACACAACTTAGTTTTGCCGATGGCAGCTACCAAGGCATAGTTTGCCTGCCCCTAGAACTTGGGGCTTCTGTGTCTTTACTGTGTGACTCCTGTTCTGGTTGGTGGGCCTGTCCACTACATTCTTCATGCCCCCGATTTTACCAGTCTTACAATCTAATTGATGAATAAGATAGTGTTAGAAGACAGAGATTTCCCAGTTAATAAATCTCTTAAAATGTTGGGGGTGCTAATTGGATACTTTATCAGCGTAAGAACTGATGCCTTTAATCCCAGCACTCAGGAGACAGAGGCAGGTGAATCTCTTGAGTTATAGGCAAGCATGGTCTACAGAGTAAGGTCTAAGACAGCCAGGGTAGAAAAAAGGAAGCAGAGGAAGGAAGGGAAAGAAATTTGCTGGTTTAAAATGCTGGATAGAGGTGGGCAGTCCTTGGGCTTCCCACAGGTCAGGGAACCCTGATTGCTCTTTGAGCAGATGAGGGAGGGGAACTTGATCGGGGGAGGAGGGGGGAAATGGGAAGCGGTTGCGGGGATGAGGCAGAAATCCTTAATAAATAAATAAATTTAAATATAAAAAAAATAAAATAAAATATGTACCCCAGTACCTGGGACATAGTATAAATAAATACATAAATAAATAAATAAATAAATAAATAAACGTAAAAAATAAAATAAAATAAAATGCTGCAAAGACCAATGTGAGTGTTGTCAGAGCAAAGGACTCTTTGCAGCTAGTCCTTGATATTAACTCTGGAAGAAGGAATGCTTTTATCTCCTTGAGTCAGTAGCTATGTTCTAGTAGACCTAAAAATCAGTAATACAGATGCATATAAATATTAAATTTAAAATAACACAAAAGAACAGTAGATAAAGGGAGTAATCAGACATAGAGATCTAAGAAAATCGAGATAAATAGAAAAGTGCAGGCTCTACTCAAAGGCCAGTGAAGCTTGTTGAGCGATCGAGAGAGTAACATGAGCACAGTGGGGTGAGTAAAAAGGTTTCTTAGGAGTAGGTGGCAGTGCTCAGCATATAACAGTGCCCACCACCACACCTGATGACCCACATGGTGGAAGGAGAGAGCTCACCCGTACAAGTTGACTTCTGGCTGCCACATAAAAAGAAAAAAATTAAAATTGAGCTTTTTAGGAAAGTGAGTTCCTAATGTCTGTGCTAAAATAGACGTGACATGTGCAGGGTTTGTTCATTTTCTCTTCGTCTGAATCCTTCATTTGTGGCAGTGGAAAGACAGCATCTTAGAACAGCATAGCACAGTGATCTGACTCAAGTCAACTGTCAGGTTTCTACACCAGATACTGCATTAATACATAACCTGGCAAGCAGTAGTGTGTTGCTATGAAGAACTTAACAGAAAAAGGCAGCCTTTCTCTTACTGATAGTTTAGGTTGGGGGAATAAAAACTGTTTTGAAAATTATGTTTGCTGGGCATGACAGTGAACACCTTTAATCTCAGGAGGCAGAGGCATGATGTCTGCATTTGAGGACAGCCTGGTCTACAGAGTGAGTAAACTGGCCAGAACTACTTAATCTGACCATGTCTCAAGGGAAAAAAAAAGTCCTGCAAGCATGCTTTATTATTGTGTTCTTCCTGGCAGGTGGCATCCTTGGCTGGGCCTGGAGGGCAAGTGGAAATAGAGCAGAACTTTCTTAACAACAAATTAAAGACAATCACTGCATATTTTGGTGACTTGATCAGAAGACCAGCCTCCGAAGCAGAAGTGGAGGATAACTGAAGACAGATTGCGCTTTGGTTTCCCAGCCACCCAGACCCAAATAATCTCACAGTAACTACATTAATTACAGCACTGTTTGGCCAGCGGCTCAGGTGTCTTCCTGACTAGCTCTTATATCTTAAATTAACCCATTCTGTTAATCTGTGTATCGCCACGAGGCTGTGGATTAATGGTAATGTTCTGGCATCTTTCCCCTTCGGCAGCCACCTGGCATCTCCTTGACTCCACCTACTCTCTCTTTAAGAGCTGTTCTGCCTTGTACTGATAGCAAGATCATGCGGAATGAGAGTGGCATTTGAATGAGACACTTGGGAAGGTCTTCTCAGCTCCTTAATATTATGAACGTGTGATATGGAAACCTTTGAGTTTTTTTTTTTTTTTTTTTTTGAGACAGGGTTTCTCTGTGGCTTTGGAGCCTGTCCTGGAACTCGCTCTGTAGACCAGGCTGGTCTCGAATGCTAGTGAAGTGGTTTGTGATTTTCAGGGAATGCTAACTGAGCTGTGTTCAGTACTCTAAAGCGGTAAGCATCAGGGCCAGGTGATCGTAGATACCTATTATGGTCCCAGCACTTCGGAGGTTCAAGGTCATCCTGTACTGCATAAATTCAAGGCCAGCCTGAGTTACATGAGGACTGGCCTCAAAAATGACCCCGTGCTTAAATTAAGTGCATCTGTGTATATTTGTATGTTTCTGTTCTTTAACTATGTTTTGGTGTGTGTGTGTGTGTGTGTGTGTGTGTGTGTGTGTAAATGCTTTTTTAAAATGCAAAGAAAAATGAAAAGCAGTTCTGCCTGCACGTTTAACCTCTGGTGAAATAATGTTACCAATTTAATGCTATAACAAGAAAGGTAGAACTCTCCCACTACCTTACCTATTTTTTATATTCAACTGTCTAAATATAATCACAGTTAACAGTGTTTTGTGTTTTACTTTTTTATTGAATTTTTATTTCCTGTGTGTGCATAGAGGTCAGAACAACTTGCAGAAATCCGTTCTCCATTTCTGCCCTGTGAGTTCTTGGGAATCAAGTTCAGGTTATCAGGCTAAAGTTATGGCAAGAGCCTTTACCTGCGAACCATCCCACTGATCCCCATGTTAATTCTTCTAAAGAAAAGACTGAATTACAGTATCCTTTCATACGCCGTTCATCCAGTGCCTTCCCTTTTGAGATACTTAATGTATATTTTATTAAATAAAATAGATACCGTTTTTAGAGTGAGTGTGTGTGTGCACGCCTGCCCTTACCTCTATGACTATGTGTGTGCCTGTTCCCACAGAATCCAGGGAAGGGGTTGGATCCCTTGGAGCTGGGGTTACTGGTTGTGAGCTACTCAATATGGGTACTAGGAAATGCACTTGGGTCTTCTGGTCGTCCATCCCAAGATGCTTTGATTAACTCAATCAATGTTTTTACTTTCCTGTTTTGGTATGCTTTGTTTTTACAGAAATCTCATATTATCCAGACCAGCCTCAGATTTTTGTGTAGTTGAAGATGATTTTGAGTTCCTGATCCTCTTGCCTCCACCTACCACATCTGGCTTATCAGTTTATCTTGGAGGCCATTCCATTTCAGTCCATCCATGTCACACATGTCAGTCTACCTCATGCTTTAAATGGCTGTCCTGTATCCCATCACCTGTGTGTATAAAGTAGTTCCCTGCAGAGGCACCCAAGCAGTTTGCATGGTTATACCACTACTGACGTATATGCTGTGTTTCCTTACAGTGTATGCTGTTGAACAAGTATTTCAGTTTCTAGCAGTGAGGCCACAGGTCTATATGTACAGTTAAGTCTTGACAAATACAGCCAGGTTGCTTCAATAAAGTTGAACTTGCATTAAGGCTTATTTATCTCAGTTTGTTTTCATATCTTTGCTTTAACTAGAATCTCTTCTTAAAGGCTTTTGTGTATGTGTGCATACATGACCTCAAATTTGTGACTTTCTAAATGGATGCCACTTGTCCAGGTGCCCTCAGGAGTCAAAAGGTGTCAGATCTCCTGGAATAGGAGTTACAAGTGATTGTGAACCCCTAAAATGGGTGCCTCAATCTACAGTGTGCCTCCATGAGACCCAGCGAAGCAGAAATATTAGGGTAAGGAACATATTCCAAAGACAGAACTGGAGGAAGCTCTTGAGAAATGCACAGCAGGAGTGAGAGGGCTGCAGATGCTGGGGCAGCATGAGAACAAAGGGTCAAGATGAAGAAGCCCAGCCAGATACAGCTGCAGCTAGAGAATCAGTTAGCATTGAGGAAGAAAGGGTGGCTCAGTGGTTAGGAGTCAGGACTGTTCTCACAGAGACCTAAGTTCACTTTCCAGCACCCAGGTCCCTGAACGATGTCTCAGTTCTGAACATCGATGCCCCAAATGTAACAGCACCCACATTTGTAAAAGAAACATTACTAAAGCTTAAATCACACATTGACCTCCACACTCTAGTAGTTGGAAACTTCAACACCTGTTCTCACTGATGAACAGGTCTGGCAGACAGAAAGTCAATAAAGAAATAATAGAACTAACAGACATTATGACTCAAATGAACCTAATACATATCTACAGAACATTTCACCCAAATGCAAAAGAATAAGCCTTCCTGTCAGCCCCTCATGCAGCTTTCTCCAAAATTGACTATATACTCTGCCACAAAGCAAGTCTCATCAGATACAAAGAAATTTTTATTTTTCTTTGAAAATAACCCCCGTCTCCTATTTGACCACCATGGATTAAAGCTGGATTTCAACAACAGAAAGCCTATAACCTCTTGGAAACTGAATAACTCTGAGTAACGTGGGTCAAGGAAGAAATAAAGAAATTAAAGACTTCCTAGAATTCAATGAAAATGAATTCATAACATACCCAAACTGTGGGACACAATGAAAATGGTGCTAAGAGGAAGTCCACAGCACTAAGTGCCTTCATGAACAATTTAGAGAGACCTCTAGTAATTTAACAGCACCCCTGAAAGATATAGGAGAAAGTGAAACACACCCAAGAGGATCAGATGGCAGAAAATAATCAAATTGAGAGCTGAAATCAATAAAATAGAAATAAAGAGACTAATACAAAGAAATAATGAAATAAAAGAGTTGATTCTTTGAGAAAAATCAACAAAATAGACAAACCCTTATGCATACTAACTAAAAGGCAGAATATCCAAGTTCACAAAATCAGAAACAAAAAGGGGACATTACAGACGAGGAAATCCAGATAATCATCATGTCATACTTCAAAAACTTGTACTCCACAAAATTTGAAAATCTAAAAAAAAAATGGACAATTTTCTTGATAGGTACCACATACTAAAATCAAGATAAAATAAACAAGTGAAATAGACATAACCCCTAAGGAAATAGAAACAGTAAATAAGTGTTTCCCAACCAAAAACGCCCAGGACCAGACGATCTTAATGCAGAATTATACCAGACGTTAAAAGAAGTACTAACAGTGATACACCTCAAATTATCCCACAAAATAGAAACAGAGGAACATAAACAATTGCTTTTTATGAGGGCACAATCACCCTTATACCCAAATCACACAAAGAGTCAACAAAGAAAATTACAGACCAATTTTACTCATTAGCATTGATGCAAAAATAATAAAATACTGGCAAACTGAATTCAAGAACACATCAAAAAGGTTCACTACGACCAAGTAGGCTTAATCCCAGAGATGTAGGGATGGTTCAGCATACTAAAATCTATCGATGTAGTCTACCATATAAACACCTGGAGCCTGGGCGCTCTCATTCCAGAAGCCAAGCCAGATGCAATGGGTCAGTGGAGTCTCTCGCTACACCCTGGTGTCTTACCTATGGAGTTAATGGTCAGCAACTGGCAAAGCATCTTTCTCCCCTCCATTCACAGAGATGTAGGCCATCTCATCTCTAGCTTCAGTTTCGACCAGGCCTCCTAACTACGGGCTATTCCCTGTCTGTCTCCCAGCCCTTCATCCAGCACAACTGGAGGGGGGGTGGTTCAGCTGGATGGGTATGTACTACTGAGCTCAGCAGGAATGAGTCCTGTCTTCAAACCACAGCAGAAATAAACAAGAAAAACTCTCTTGACAGCTAAGGAGATGGCTCCGTGACTAAGAGCACTTAGCACTCTTCCAGAGGACCCGAGTTTGGTTCCTAGCACCCTTCTCAGCTTCCCACCATCTCTAACTCCAGCTCCAGAAAACCCAGTGCCTCTGGACTCCATGGGCAACACCATGCACATGCAAATACCCACTCACAGACACACACACCTACATACACACAGACGCAGATGCACACAGACACATGCCTACACACATACCTACAGACACATACACAGACACACACCTACACATGCACATATACATACATACATACACCTACACAGTCACACACACCTATACACACAGACACACACATACACCTACACACACGCCTACACACACACATATACACACCCACATGCACATAACTCACAAACACACACACATACACTCACAGACACACACACATACAGACACACACACACACCTACACATAATTAAAAATAAAAACCAATCTTAAAATAATAGTTGCTCCATCTATCTTTGAGGAAAAATCTACAGTATCATTCTGGAGCCCTCCCTCAAAAGTGCCTTGTTGGTTTAGTGTAAATTCCCTCTCTGGGCCTCCCCTGCCTTGCCCTCTTCCCCCGAAACTGCTGCTGTCAGTTCCTCTCGGCCTCGGCATAAGCCGTCTCTTGACTGGAAGGTTCTATGTGCTGCACCACACTAAAACCAGCTTAGCCTTTAAGTCTCAGCTCAAGCCCTGGTCCTTCCAGACAGGCCCCTGTGGAGATCCCTGGGAAGTCACCCCTCCCTTCTCTCCTGGGATACCCTGCACTAGCCACCATCAGAACCTCACGTGTCTGTCTTGAGGCAGTTTATGGAGTTTTATCCTTTGTGTTGAAGCTTTGGGCAGAAAATGTCTGCTAAAAAGTGAAAACCCTTCATTAGTGACCACGGTTCACAGATTCAGCTACAGACAGTGCCAGTGCCCTGTGTCTTTCCTAACACAGCAGAGTGAGTTACTCCATTAAACACATGGCAAGTGAGGGACTGTGGTACCGTGCACGTGCTCGGTTCAGCGAAACTGAGATTGCCCAACAATCACATGACCAGTGAGTTTCAAAATCAAGAAGCCACACATAATTCTTTTTTGGGGTACTTGAGGGGAGGTGGTAAAGACAAGGTTTCTCTATATAGCCTTGACTGTTCTGGAACTCATTCTGCAGATGTGACTGGCCTGATCCTCCCGCCTCTACCTGCTGGGATTAAAGGCATGCACCACTTCTAGCTAACAGACACGATTCTTTAATCTGCCTTCTCCCTGGAGCTCTTAGGACCACTTCCTTTCCCCACACAAGCTCACACATCCATCGAGTTCTCCTTTCTGCATATGAGGAAGGCAACACACATCTGGCATCACCAAACCCCGGGTATGTTCGTTCTAGATACCTCTGCTCAGGAGACTACGTGAACATTTAACCAGACCTAAAATTCAAACCCATAAGAACTCTTAAAGGAACTTTTCTTGTTCCATCTATGATAAAGGTCAGTGTTTCCTGTCACCTGTGGCTAGTGTTCAAGCAATAACTTTTATTTAATTAACTTATGAGATTTTATATCTAAGTACTTATTTACATCATTTTCTCTCTCCCTCCCCTCCTGCCAACTCCTCCTACGGCCTCCACCCTCCTCAACACTCATGGCCTCTTAGTCTTTATTATTGTTCTCATACACACACACACACAATCGTAAAACCATTTAGTGCTACTCATATATGTATTCTTTACAGCTGACTGCTTGGGATGGATAACGCAACAGGGACCCTCCCTGGGAAGACTCAGCCGTCATCAATTGCCTATATCTCTTCGTCTAGGATGGGACCTTGTGATACGTC